GATGTAAAAACTTTCACCAGCTGAGTCAAAAGCTAGTAATGTAGTTATAGAAACAACTTCCGTTTTGTAGATTTAGGACAAGTTAAACAAGTACAAATGATAATAGATTAATTTCAGTTAATTTTTGGTTGAATTTAAAGTGCCCACGGAAGGGTTATTCAAACTCTAGATAAAACGATGGATATTAATCGTAAGTTCATTCAATAAATAAATAGCAAGACGAACATAAGTAACAAACAATTAGACAGTGTTACTAAATCCTTGGTATGTTATACGGTAAGCTCTTTGAGCAATACGACATGGAATACACTTATAAATGACTACAGCTATAATTGTGTACTTACTTGTGATTTCACTCCTAAAAGTCATATACTGATTATCTGCAGATAAACGGAATGGTGAAGTGCTGTGAGATTTTCTTTAAATACATTTTGAACACTTTTATTTTAGCACTTTCAAACATATTACTAACGTAACGTCTAAACACATATGAGAAACATTATATTAACAAATCCTTGTTTCGCTTATTTTTTCTCGAATTCAAATAAAAACTTTTTATGGTCAGACTGACAAAAAAAATTCGCATGATTTAAGTAAAAATGTCAATATTTAGTTAGACTAAATTCGTCAAATGAACGGAATAGGTTAATTGATTGAGACTAAATGTAGGAGTGGAATTAAATCAGTCCATTATGAAGAATAAATGAGTATTCAACCACTAAATCACTCTTGTATCATCTGATTCAATGGTCTCCACGAGCCAACTATGAAAACACTCATAAAAATTATAGATAGTTTCTTTTGTGAAGAAACATTCGGTGTCTAAATTAATAAATACAATTTTTCCTTTTTTGCAGTTGTCTTTATTTTCATTACCGCAGTTAATCAGTTAACTCAGTCACTATTTCTTGGTAGTAAATGACATTATGTGATAATAATAATAGTGATGTCAATAAAAATGTCCAACAGATTTTTGAGTATACAATAAGAGGAGATCTCTGTCTTACGAAACACACCAAAGCACTTGTTTATGTTTCCCACTATTTGAAGGTAAATAATGTGTATGTGAGTTATTGATCGTAATTATTCTCATTCTAATTTTGAACCCTCATTGTTTATCAGATAATTTATATCTACTACGACTGAGACTCAGTTGACTAACTCTATTTTCAAGATCGCAGCTTGATGGGTACGAATTTATTTTATTGCTGATTTAAGAGATATAGGGCAACGATTGGGGTTGCTGACATATTACTTTTGTTGTGCGACACCTGAAAGTGATTGGCCAATCTACGTTTTATTGCACGGTCGTCAAATTAATTCATTTGAACACCAGAGATCCGTAGACTTTACTGAATCAAATATAACGATAGTGAAGTAATCCATTAACAAAGAAACCTTTGTCATCTGAAATAACAGCATCTTCAGTACTAACCAATAGTTTGCCGTCGTTTAAGTAACAAGTTACGATTTTTCCTCTCTAGTTTTAAATGCGAAATTTATGAACAAATGATAGCCAAATTATAAATAAAGCTACATACTAGCAATAAACTCGTTTGTTACAGTATTAGTGAATTTGTAATAACATCTAGATACATTGTGTTATGCTAATTAATATGTGCTGAATAATTGTATATTAGTGTGATGTTTAGGTCACAAATTAATATAGTGTAGCAAAGTATAATATAATATGTATATACAAATAATGTTATTATAATGCATAATATGGCTTACATATATTCAAATGAACAGATAAATGTACAAATTTTCACTTCGGTCACATTTTTGTATGCATTCCCAACCTCAGAAGTCACTCGTTAAAATCTAAAACATATTTGTTATGATTCGAAAATATTTGAAAACATTGGATGTTTTGTATTTGTTTACATGTGATTTTATGAAATTCATCTGAGGAATGGTTGTGTTATCATTTTTTGTACTGGTTTCAATAAAGGCCATAATCTGGGTACTTTTACCATTTATTGTAAATGATTGTTGTATGTTTCAACCTAAGTCTAATGATAACTGATATGCTAGGACGGAGTGGACAGTTGCCCAATATTACTTTCAAACTTCAGATTTACATTTACCTACAGTTATCCGTAGTATCTAGCCTGAAACTTATAAGCTCGATAGCCTAGTTCCTTTCGAATAGTAATGTGACTGACACAACATTGTGATGAGCTTCGCTTTTAAATTTATTTGAATCTCATAATACGCTAGCCTACTTTTAAGACATAATAAATTATTATCTGTTTTGGAAGATTTGTATGATTATGTTACCGGAAGTTCACCAGTTACGAAATGAATATCAGCTATAGCAACACAAAAAATTGTAGATGTAATTTTGAATTTGTCAGTACTCCTTCAGAATAACAATTTTTTGACCTTATTAGAAGCGAAAATCATTTATTACAGATTGTAGATGAAAAATCATAATTTTGTTTTTATGAAAATCAATTTCACAGTCAGAAAAGTGAGCGGAAAAAATATAGATGAAATAAAAAAATCCTGAATATGTTTCGCCAATTTTAAACAAATAGGTGAAATAAGCAGAGAAATACTTGGCAAATCATTTTCACTAATGTGATCTTTCTTTGATTTTAGTAAATTTTTGGTTCATGTACTATTCCTCTCTTTTCTTTTCTCAATTCTCGCTCCACTTCAATAAATTTCCATGTTAAAAGTGTGTACATCCTTTATGCACTCCTGTATGGAACCTTAGTCAGAGATGAGAAACAAACTGACTAATTGCTAGATTTTACAACCTCTTAAACCTTTCAAGTTAATATTTATCAAAGTAAACACACAACGACCTTACAAAACATGCAGTTTGTAACTAGAGAAGCTGACTTTACCAAGTTTTATGGTTTTTAATTTACAATTCACAAACATGAGTTTCGTTTATCAAACTTACCCATCACTTATACGTAAAGAACTTGAAATTAGAAACTACTTATTGGGCCTCTAAAAGGTTCTTGGTTATTTATTACTTACTTTCTGATGGACACAAAGTTCTGTACTCTGTTGATCATTTAATCCGGCACAAAAGTTTCCTAGGTCTTGGTGAGTTGATAGTAAAAAACACTGACACATATAAAAACCCTGTTTAACTGTTGCTGACTTGTGCAACCCCATAGCGCAGACAGAACTTTATTTTTCTGAGTGACAACTTCTTTTCTATTGCTTTATGGCTATGGGACTTCGCAAACAAGATCAGATGACAGCCGTTCAATCACAGACGTCTTTCGAACATTTTCTAAGTATGGTGAAACTACTGACTCACTCACGACAAATTTAGACGTTAGTTTATTTTACACGTGTAGTCTGTTATGTAAAAAGTATGAATGATTTAATAGCATTACAAACTTTTATAAGGTTTTGTATCAAACCATAAAGCAACTAAACGATATGTACGTGACATAAAAGCAGAATATAATAAAGTTGTAGACACAGTCCATAAATTTACGAACTGTCGGACGCCATCATCTTAAAAAGTACAGTTTCTCACTTGTTCTCCAATCCCCAGTTGCAATTTATGATTAAAAATCTTGTGACTTGACTCAAAATTGATTAAAGCAAACAAGTGCATTTGCTCATGTGTTCTACTTTGCATATTATATAATCACTTCTTAATTAAAATTTCTGAAATTTATTAATTCCTTACAAATGTTGTTCCTTAGGATTATTTCCTCCCTAGTATTGTTATCAATATTTTAAGATACCTTGTTTTCATCTTATTAAACTCCCCATCTCCATACTAAGAGAAACTGTAGTAATTTGAAACAATGCACATTTTGTTCCGGACCGTAAGTTGTTTACGATAATCGAAATGAAAACTAGTCACATTTCCGGATATATGTGGCTAAAATTTAAAATACTATACCAGTACATTACTGTTTTTTCTTAAGTACAAACATTCGGTGTTGTATTGTCCTCCCGCATACCACTAAGAATCAACCCAGAATAGATTTGATAATGTGTTTTAGGCTGATATACAAAAGGAGACCATAAAACACGAACTCACGAATGGAAATTTATTACACCTTAAGTTTAGCTTTAGAAAGCGCCATGTCTGACGGCTTATGTAAACAGTTATTTTGTAGTAATTGAATCAGATAAAGCAATAATCTAAAACTAGTGAACACTCAACATATTCGTAATCTATCTTGGATACAACATGGACATGAGCAGACTGGATTCTATAAACTATGGTAGCTTAGTAAACTTTATCTCTGAGATGTGTAAGACACATTAAGACAAAAACGTCAAAATAAATGAGAAAAACAAACTTTGTTAATTTGAAGGTGAATTCGTCAGTTGTCGCAGATCTTTATCTAAAAGCTAGGTAATAGACTCTGATGTGGACCGGTCAACTAGCTAGTTAGGGAAACCATGTACGCTGGCATAAATATACATCACTACATGTTGTTACACCACAGCAGGAAGAAAAGATGAAGTTATTAAAATGAAAAATCAGTCGATTAAAGGATGAGTTCGTGAAACGAGGAGTACAAAGTAGTTTTTAAACCCAAAATTTGTGGTGAAGTGTGAGTGAACAAGGGTAAATGAGACTTATTCCGAATAGCTTATATAAGTCAATATCTCGCGCGGACCTCTAACTCAACTACCAAAATAACTCAGATAAAAAGTAAGTAACTTTATGACTTGTGTTACGTCTTGCTTTGGCCAACACTGTCTATCTAACGATACAACCCCACTCCAATCTACAAAAACAAGACGACCAAGTTTGGGCTTACCTAAAGCATGTCAGACATAGAATGCATGACTTCCTAGCTAATAGATCTTAAAATAACCGATTCAAAGCTGGATAGGGGTTCTGTTTATGTAATTGCAATGCCAAAGATTGAAATCGTCCTGTATTTCAATGTGACGTTTTTGAAGAACCATGTCATACTTATAAACCAAATTTCACGTAATTCATGGACCACAAAGTCTTCAAGTAACAAAGCAATATACGTTATCATTGTTATGTATCCTTTAAAAGTTATGAAAAAATAATAGTCACAGATGTTCTACATCAGCCTATTAGTGGATGATTACTTCATTCTAAATTTCCCATATGACATAAAACTTGGATATTTGTAAGCTTGAATGCTTAACAAACTGTCAGAATAGTAAGTTTTGCAAACAAATACACGCACCAGGTATGTCGTAATCACCAGGCGTTTTTAAAGCTTATTCGAAGAGCGATCAATTTAAAAGATGCTTTGAACGATAGGTCTAATCATGAATCAATTTTTCGACTCAGCCATACCAAAAGAATGTTATGGTCTACAAAGTATATTTATACATTATCTGAGATTATCCGATTAAAAATTTACTTTTAATCGCAGAAATCACGTGAATATAAATTCGAATTATACAGTACATCATCATCTACCATAATGTATGGCATACTTTATTATTCACTGAGATTTTTTAAAATAATTTAGAGAAATGATGTTTGTTTCGGCTATTGGAACACGCAATTTTCCTCAAATAAATAAATGATGGATTGGAAAATTATGGGGATTAAAATACAATGTTAACATAAAGAACTATATCTAGCATCTATACTAAATATCTAATAGATCAAGCAGAACGACGATTCTTCTTTGATCCTGAAAGGTATACCACTAGGTGTATGCAGAGTATAAATCCGGTAAGCGTACCGTATGTTATGCAAAGAGAAATCAGAGCATGAATCCAGGTATTATTAGGAGCTAGAGCAAATATACATGATTGATTAGTGAAATTTTAATACCTGTGTCATAACGAACATATTTGGAAGGGTTCTTAAGTCCCTCTTCCAGCGTCACAGCGTGTGTGCTGAGAACAAAGCTGGAAAATAATGCAAATGCAATAAACATCATCATCAGCAATCTACTGAAACACGAAGTCGATAAATAATTTCCACTTGAAAAGAGACAGATTTAATGGCCTAGTAGAGTACATTAAAACAGTGCATATAAACACTAAATTGATCATCAGTTTATCAAATCCTAATTTTTATCTGTCATTTTTAACTGTTTTTCCAATATTTACGTGTATAATATTTCTAACATGACTGAATCTCATATTTATTTGAGTGGTCAGTTTAAACCAATTATGAAAGACATGAGCACGTACCCTATCATAAAGCATTTTCTTGAAACTCTTTACTGGGTGGAGCTTTGACCACTTCGGCGGAAAAAAACGTTTAAAATAGGTCAGACTTGGTGCAAAGTAAGTGATACATAACCTGAATGTTTGCTCTTTGGAATGTAGTTCGTTGATTTTTACCTTTCAGAGTGCTATCATAGTTTCAGTTTGTGCTACTTTATTGGGATAACGTGTGCTACTCGTTGTGTTGTACACTACGGTTAGGCGGTTCTTTCTTAGCTCGTGAAGAGCAATCTCAAATGAAAAGGTTAATCGCTACACAAAATTTCAGCTAGGCGGTTGGATATTCACGTCTATTGCACGACCATCGAGTATCTAAAAAAAAACACTGATCTCAGAGCTCTCACTTGACTACACGAGCTTTACTAGCCGATCTTGAGAATTTCAAAGAAGAGACCAGATATGACTCGATATTGCGAGAATTAGTTGGAAGCACCATCCATATATGGCCAATTTAACCACAGAAAAGCGATGTTTTCATTTCCTACCAGAGAAAAAAGAAGCTATTTGTTGTCCATTAATCTCCGATATTTTTGAATGGAACCAGATGTTTTCTGTTGTTTTACGTTAGTTGGACCCCCAATACCCAGGATCCGCGTGAATAAATTTGATAACAATAAGTTACATATCCTGGCCAGGTTTTGATCTGAGGACTACATATTTAGTTCAAAGTTGAAGCTAATACCGTCGTGCTAGAAAGTATCTTGTATAGACAACTCGATAGTCCTGACCCATACGAGACAAGCTGTGGTCCCTCCTGTTTTCGCGGTTTCAGGTTACGATATTATGTGCCTGGTCCTAGTTGATTGAACTTTAAGATGACCTTAAGTTAGCAATTTAAACAGAATTTCAGTTTAGAGTGTACTCAGCATGACCAATTCGAAAGACAGCACTCAAATAACCTCACTTTTGTTCCATTTCTATAAGGAGCTATTTACCTTTTCGACTAAGCACATTGAACTTGGTGTTCAACTCATTTAACAACACGACATGATAAACATCAGCCCTACCGTAGCATTGCCGCTGCGAGCCATTGTAGCTTTACTCTGATCAATTAAGGCCGAAGAATTGCTGACTTAATATCCTGCAAGTATATCAATGAGTTCCCGCCTAACAACTTAACTGGGTTTATGACCCTTTCAATGTTCACTCTACAATATACTGATAATTTGTAGACCCTGCCCACTTGGTTATTTTAACCACTCATATTCCACAATTGCGAACGACAAAAGCTCGGTAATCTTGAACAGCCAGACTAAAATGGGCGAACGAACAACACTACATATCTCCTTGATACCTTCAAACAAGCCGATTGCATTGACACGGGAGCTGCAGCAACAGACATGTTCATTCGTCCATGTTCGTCTTAGTTCCTTCGTCATAAAAGAAACGTTGGTCCGAAGGCCCAGTGAATGGCGACGGTAGTGATTGTGGTTCTTGCTTGTCTGGTGATATCCACTGCAGGATTGCAATAGGTGCTAAATTAGGTTCTTCCCTATGGTTTGAAAGATGTCATGGATGAGATATCTTGGCATGAATATAAATATTTTGGCAATTACTCAGATTAACATGGACTTATCAATGAAAAAGCTGCCAATGGATGATAAGTCCTCAGAAAAAGCTAGATTTTCGTATTTCTGCAGGCACTGAACGAGAGATTTCATGAAATCTATCTCTTTTTGCGGGTTTATGTTGGCAGCCGAAGAGCACACGAAACAGGATTGACACTAAAACAAATACTTAGAAAACTGTTTGTAGTGAGAAGTAGTCTCCTACCATGCCGTCCCGTGTAAAAATAGACAGGTTGAAGACAAACTGACAGATGTTGCTGACTTCTAGTATAGTCAATAAACTTAAAAAATACCTTGCTGCTAATGAATATGAATAATGAACTGTATTTGATTTCTGTAGTATAAATGGTTATTGTAAGTCCTCGAGAATATCCACTGAGAAAATTAGGACTGATGTTACCAAGGAAGCAAAAGGTGCTGTAGTGAGACAATTCAGCGTTTTAAAATTGGTCGAAAGTGACATGAGCCAGTCTATAAACCACCTTAGCTATTCAGTACACAAAATTGGATTCATGATTTCACTAGATGACCTACTATTCGAATGGTATTTTGTAACATAAAGCATTTACTTAAACCCGGTCTTCTCATATATATTCTGTCACACAATCTTACCTTCGACATAAGACGTATTTATTAATAGTTTTCTTTCAAATAACAGTACGTTATATTGGATATGTTTGTCTACATGAAAGACGGATTGTTGAAAATATTCCAAAGTCTACTAAAATAAATTACTCACTGATCGTAAATTTTGAGTATGAGCATATACTGCTGTGATTTACTCTTTTTGATTGCTTTATTTGTACATTTTGCCAAATGTTTGGTCCCATTCGAAATGGACTTATTTATATTTAATTATATTTTTTGTTTCTATTACATTTCCACCGACTTTCCGTGCTTTTTGTACCACTTGTACGTTGTTCTAGTTGATACCTGGTTAAGGCGGCTGTCACACTGTTCCGCTTTCCTTTTTGATTACGTTGCTTCAAATATGTAGTTTCGATTGTGGATCGAAACTCCCTTTCATAACTGAAAGTAGTATTATGACATAATTGTAAGATCCATTTTGAATGCTTTGTGTGTTTGTGAAAATCCCTCCATGTATATACTTGCACTTTGTTCCTATTGATTTTCTTAGTTGTACATTGTTAACTTTTTGACTACATTTGAGTTGTTATAATTTGTACTTTATTATAATTTTCATTTTTATTACGCCCTCACTGAGTCTCCATGTTTCTTCTTGAACTGCACTTATGTTGTTTCACTTTATACTAAGTCTGGGCGGCAGCCATGTTGGTTTGTTCCTGCTTTTGATTGCTTGACCTGTGTTGACTGGAATCGTGCATTTTGGTTGTGAATTGAGGCACTATTCCAGAATTGAAAACACTGTGTTATAGAGCGACCAATTATTACCTTTTGAACGAATCTATACGTGATCTATCCAGACAGGATAGAACAACATTTATTTGTGGTGATTGGTAATTTTCTTGCATCTTTTATCAACTTTCTTATTTATTGTAGTTTAGATTTCATCAATTGAACAATTATTGGTTGGATAGCTGAGTGGCTATAATTGTTTAGGTAATAATGTACACTTAAATTTATGATAAATTATAGAACCGCTATCTTACCCAATTACTTTGTTTTGGTTTCAAACGGGCCAGGGCGCGTATCTTACTCATCCAGGCAGCTGTCCAGCAGTCCAAACGTAGTTTGGATCTTACAATAATTACATATTATATTTCGAACAATCTGTACACGACCTATCCAGAAATGATAAAATAACATTCATGTTTTTGTAGGAGCATTTGTTAAATGGACTTGGTAATTCATTTTTATTCTTCAGCAGTTTATCCACTTAGTGTAATTTAGATTTGATTACTAATTGAACTACCGTTGGTTAATAACTGGACGGTAATATTTGTTGAAGTAATAATGTACATCTAAGTTTATAATGAAATTAAGAATCGCAATTTACTCAATTACTTCGTTTTGGTGTAGCGCGTCTTTAAACTAACCAAGACCGTTATTCCTTATTCTAGAATGCTTTAGTTTGAAAACCACAATAAGGATGAAATGGTCATGGAAACAGGAGGTAATTTTGGGTGCATGAGAATCTGAATGATGCTAGTAAAACTCTATGATTCAAGCTTTGATGCGTTGAAAAGTTTTATAGGTAAACTGTAAAGTAAGCCACTTGGTTAACCCAGAATACGGTTAACGACTACGACACTCAAACGTTGGAAATTCACCGTCACAAATTAGAGGACAGAAGAAAAGTTGGAGAAGTGTTTATTTAGAAAAAATCGGAATGCACAGATAGATATTAGCATTTGTTAAATCAACATTATATTTCGGCCAATCCGTAAAGAGACAAATTATGCTGTTATCCAATGAAAGAGTGCCACGTCGATATTCTAGAAAGCCTCATAATTTTCTGATCGGATCAGAACTGTTCGGCTTCTTAAGTGCCTCTGGAGGCTCTGTTGTAGTTCTCGGAAGACGACTAAAAAACACGCTATTGTAAGGCAAATTGGTTTCTGAAAAACGTCTTCAAATTGATTTATTCCCACTTCATCGTTTTAATTGTCTCTGAAATGTTTTTGTAAATGGTATGCACAAAACTGACTACTGCAATCTCTCGTTATAGGGCTACATTATATCTATCACCTTCTTAGCTACAGTGCCATACCATTTGTCTACAATCCACCTCCTCTATATCCCACGTAAACGTGCGATTTGAGTATCCCCGACATTTTCCACAAAATTGATCTATTGACTCGGTTACTAACGTAGCGATTCAACGCAGTTAATATCATTAATGTTGCGGGTAGGTTGATGAAATTCTACGGGGGGACGTGAATGAGAGTCCCAGGCTCGAGTTTGACGGCAAAGTCACTCTATATTTCCATTTAGTATGTCTAATATTTCTTCAATCAGTAAGCCAGGTTTGATTTTACAAAGTTAGAAGCATCACAGTATTTCTGCTTGTCGCGTTACAGTGGCCCAGGACACAAAATACTATAACTTAGTCGTGAGAATGCATGACTCTGTTAGTTACATTATATTTGTGTTCTTCGTCTGACAACATTACCAAGTTGACGAACGCCGTTGTTTGATTTAAGTCTCAAAGCCCTGGTGGAATGTTATGAGACCACTTTGGGTATGGCTGCGTAAGTACAAGAAAACTAACCCCATTTACAAGACCAACGATAATAATATGTGTTCCTGACTATATTTTTTAGCTATGAGTGTGGTGTTAACACCAAGCTTTACTTACTCAGAGCATTCCTGAGACAACAACTTATCATTTTGAATATCACCATTTTTTCCGGTTTCCCAGTGTATTTGTTTTACTCAACTCTTGAACCTCGTTCGTTTGTAATCCCTAAATTCGATCTACCGGTTTCCATCTTCATTGTTTGCTACTTCGGAAATTCCGTGAAAATCGAGTATTTGTGACGAATGGTGGATACTGTGTGAAAGATCCATTTTGAATGTTTTGTGTGTGAAAATCCCTTCATGTATACATTTGCACTTTTTTCCTATTGATTACTTTAGCTGTACATTTTGTTAGTCTTTTTTATTCCATTTGAGTTGTTAATATTTGTATTTTATGATAGTTTCTATTTTTCTTAGACATTCACTAAGTTTCCGTGTTTCTTCCTGAACTGTATATAGGTTGTTTTACCTGATGCTTAGTCTTGGCGTTAGCCCTATTGGTTTGTTCCTCCCTCCGATTGTGTTGCTTGTGTTTACTGTAATTGTGCATTTTTATTGTGAATTGAGACACTCTTAAAGAATCGGAAACACTATGTGTTATTAAGTAACCAAATATTATCTCTTGAACGAATCTGTTCTTGGTATATCCAGACAGGATAGAAGAGCATTTGTTTGTTGCGATTGGTAATTTTCTCGCATCCTTTATCAACTTCCTTATGTACTGTAATTTAGATTTAATTAATCGAACAATTATTGGTTGAGTAGCTGAGTGGTCGTATTTGTTTAGGTAATAATGTACATTTGAATTTATGAATTTTAGAACCGTCATTTAACCCAACCACTTTGTTTTGGTTACAACCAGGCAAGGGCGCGTTTCTTGCCCACCCAGACAGCTATTCTTCAGTCCAAACCTTAGTTTGGATCTAACACTGTGACTGGAGATTGACATCTCGATGCGTCTTTCCTTTGATGGAGTCACTGCATAGGGAACACACATGAAATTTTCTATTGACTGCCAGGAAGTACGAAATTTCGAACACACCGCCGTCACTTAATGTGACAACTAGGATGATAACTGATGCTACGTGATCGTAATATTTGTTAAGTATTCCGAAGTCTCTTATATTTACAAAACACAATCTCGAATCCTGTCAACCAGTGCCCTGGGTCATAAGTCTCAAGTAGATGAATCTGTGGTTGGTTCCATCGTATAATGTCGTGGAAAAAGAGTAAAAACTGAGTCGAATAACCTATTTTCAGCTTGGGGAAATCCCTAAATGAAAGTATTTCGTGAATAATACTGATGATTTTAAGGTCTATGTTGTATCTGTCAGCCTTAACAGAGCCCAATAAATTTCACTTATCTAAAAAATCTTCACCGTTTTACGGGGGCTCTTTGCATCTTCTGATTGAGCTGTGACCAGATTCCATTAAATTAGATTGCCACCTCTAGAATGCCAGTATATGTGATATTCATCTGTTGTTCAAAATTTAACAGATACCTTTTGTTCTGAACTTTGATCTACCGTATCGGAATGAATGCCAGTGTATTCATAACCACTGTCAGTCTCCAAGAGTATGTTTTATCGGTGGTTATCCACCTAAATGTTCAGTTTTCCGGATATAACACCCAACGTTGAGAATACTAAATAAGTCATAAAGATATGGCAATGTTAGTAATGCACTTCATAGCTGTATTAGTATTAACCGAGGAATCAAAAGATATTTGAAATGGCCTGGTCGGTTTATCGATGTGTGCATAGCGGTCATTCACACTGAGTTTGTAACTGGAGTTATGACGTCAAACTTTTCATATCCCCTCAACATAAAATCACAAGTAACTGGCCCTTCAAGTCGTATTTAACTGAACCTGATTCAAAAACACAAGAAAATTACTTCGACTAATAGAGTGAGTGTTCTTCAGGCGTCGTGAAACATAGATCCTTTTTACGAAATCATCAGGCATGTTTGTCAAAAGGTGGTTATTAAGACCGGTCAAGGTTTGCAAGACCTTTGCGTGAACAATGAGCTTCAGTGCTGTAGGAAAAACGCATACATTTGTATCCATGATATAGTAACCGCTACTTAACTATCACATTCGCTAAGATTAACGCAATTAAGAGGCTAGATTATCGTCGATAAACAGAAAAAGCGACTCAAAACCCCAAAGCAATATCAAGAAGCCAACGCTGAGAAACTTATTGATTTATGCAAGCTCGTCACATAGACATTAGATATTGAAAATTGGTTTAAAGTTATCACAGCTCATATTAAGTTTCAATGAGGCGCATTCAAATCTGAAGGCCATTTGCTAGTGAAGGTGGTCAGAACGAGAAGCTAATTGCATAACGCTGCTTATTGTTGCACCTCAGTATCTGCAATGGAAAATACAGATGGCCAAATAATTATCATGCTTTGTAAACTTGTTCATTTTCTCCAAGCTACGACACAGTTCGTCATCAAAAGATGGACCCCGGAGTTCATTAAAAATGCTTTGAAGTTTGTTGGTGAGATAGAAAACGTAAGAAGTTCCCAAAAGTTATTGCTTCATAGGTAGTTAGCAGGCTGGCAGATGATGAAAATTTGGCAGTTCAACACTTCCTACAAGACATGAGTACTATGTTTCCTCATTTCGCATCATCTGCTACTTGCTTCGAACTTGGAAATGCAGTTGATTGGGCTATTGAGGTTAGTTAAATAAGTATGCGTTGAATAAACCTTATAGAATGATTTAGATATTTAGTAATTATAGGTCTCTGGGGCCAGATTACATGCTTAAACGCACTAAGACGACCTAATTGGAAAATGCGGCGAGACTCTAATTTAGCGACGAGCCAATCAGAAGCGTTTGAGCGATTTCAAGGTCACGGAGCCAAGTTCAACACGCAATGCTAACATACGGTCGGTTCACAGCGGATTTTAGAGAGGAGGTGATTAATGAGAGGTTAAAACAGATGGGACGGCGAGACACTAATTTAGGGACGAGCCAATAAGAAGCGTTTGAGCAATTTCAATTATTAGCCAATCAGAAGACAGTATAAAGTAGAAATATATTACAAGAAAGTAATGAATTACAGTGGATATTCTTCTTTTACATGAGTTAAAAACTTGTTGAGGTTTGATAAAGGCTCAGAAGTTCTGAATTCATAATGCATTCTGTATAGAAACTCGTCCATAAGGTTAGCGTTTGGGGTTAAGGTTAGGGTTAGATTAGGGTTTAGGACTAGGGTTAGGTTAAGGTTAGGGCTAGATTAGGGTTTAGGACTAAGGTTAGGGTTAGATTAGGGTTTAGGACTAAGGTTAGGTTAAGGTTAGGGTTAGATTACGGTTTAGGACTAAGGTTAGGGTTTAGGGTTAGGGTTAGATTAGGGTTTAGGACTAAGGTTAGGGTTAGATTACGGTTTAGGACTAAGGTTAGGGTTAGGGTTAGATTAGGGTTTAGGGTTAGGTTAAGGTTAGGGTTAGGGTTAGATTAGGGTTTAGGACTAAGGTTAGGGTTAAGGGTTAGGTTAGGGTTAGGGTGCTAACATGCGATCGGTTTACATCGGATTTTAGAGAAGAGATGTCTATTGACAGGCTGCAACCCTAACCACTAACCCTGTGGACGAGTTTCTATACAATATGCATTATGAATTGAGAGCCTCTGAACCTTCATCAAACCTTAACAAGTTTTTAAATCATGTAAAAGAAGAATATCCACTGTAATTCATTACTTACAATATATTCTCACTTTATATTAACTGTCTTCTGATTGGCTAATAATTGTCAAGGTCATTTAAGATTCGTTCAAAGGTCGTCGCTAAATTAGAGTCTCGCCGAAAATGCTCTTTACCCATATTTGTATCGCAATTATTGTAGAGAAAGACGTGCTTATTTTCTGTTTATAAATCTGTGAGTTTGACACACTGCATTTTTTCTTCTACCACACGATCGGGAGCAATAAGTCAATAGTTCACTAAATATGGAGATAGACACAATATTTCAGTTTTGAAACAGAGTGGATTCTCAAAAGCTGTAAATCCACTAGTATGGGGTTATTTTACATAGTTAAAAATACCTAGCAATCTGTAAGAGATAGTTATATTTAAGCGACATTACCTCTCTATTTGAACGTCTCTGAATCCTTCCTTGTGTCTTCGTTTGTTATAGATGCATCGGCACTTGAAGTTTCGTTACCTTGAAAAATATTGCACATCTGTCTACCAGAACCTAATTTAGATCTTCCGTTGAAAATAATGCTACTTGAAAAATGACATAAAGTGTTAATTAACTTTATTGTTTTCGCGAATATATTTAGAAAGAATCATATACTTTTAACTTTCAATAATCTAAAACCATTAACTAGATGATTAACCTATGAAACTAATAGAACTGGGTTGGAATTATGTTGGTTCATTGAATGCTATGTAATCCGAAGTGGTGCACCATTGTAGTTGAGATATAGTATACAAGGTACATAAAAGAAACATAACTAACTGGTTTGAAATGTCTCATATTTGAAAAAATAGTGTACATCTTCATCTATTGAGGTCAGTTTCGATGGGTAATGCGTAGAATTATTAAATGCCCACTGTTACCTTAGGGATTGCATCCGAGTGACTGGTCAATAAACTTGTAACATACTACTTTGACTAAGTGTCATTTATGTGACATATCATGCCTATCCATAACTTTGTTTTGCTTTCCAGAGTCTTTGTAGTAATCCGTACCTTTCACAAACAAATCGGGACTGTATCTTTGAGTATTGCTTAGATACCAATCGCAAAGTATGTCTGCCAAGCCATGATGAAATATTTACCTAGTTGCCCCAATTTAACAGGTACTATCCGGAACTACACTTTATACCGAATGACTTGTTGCTGATTATTGAATCCCGTTTATTTGGTTCACATATCTCTTCAATAAAGACATTTAGTGAGACAGAAAAATATTTAGATTCATGTTTCGCATTGGATAATAGTTACACCATACATTTACTTATTCGTCTACTAGAACAGTCGGAACAATGTGACAAGCCAGATGATTTACGTACTATTATTATTCATTGGTTACTTGTTGCAATCCAAAAAGATCACGAGGCGTAAGTTCTTTCTGGCAGTACAGTTTTCTTTTATCCAAGGACTAAAGTCTGTGGTTGTGATTCATCCTAATATTTGAATAATAAGGTTTTCTGGTTACCAAACTTTACTTCATTGTATATAGTCCAAACACATGGCTAAAAACATTTGTTCGTATATTGTGAGTTACTTTTAACTAGACAGACGAATATTTTTACCGGGTTGAATTCGTTTTCGAGGGGTTTGTGTACAGTCGAAACGGTTACGCGTGCTAAATCATCTTATTGTATTACGGATGTTTCGATAAAAAGTTTTAATTTTCCTTTTACATCGGTAGATCCTCTTTAATAGACAAATGTGTTATTAGCGTTTGCCAAGACCTTGAACCATCTGCTTATGTAAACCTGACTTTTGTTTGCGAGTAGAAGTGTTTATCAGCCCAGAAATAATCTGTTTTCTTTCTCGTTAGCTTTTTTACCCTATTAATTAAAATGCACTAAATCTTTTTGTCCGTTAGCTTTCATTTTCGCTTTTCCTTAACCTTAGCGACATTAATTTCTCATCATTTCTGTTGTGCGTCCTAAACTCCAAGGCTTATTATACGATCTTTGACACGTTTCTAATCATGAGTTTGTCGCTAATATTTGGATTCACTGGTTTTTATCGTAATTAAACTCGATTTAATATTCATTTATCTTTTGAACTATTTTGGTTTATTGATAACTATTTTGTCGATTTCCTAATATCGATTTCATCTTTTGTACTTAATGATAATTTTTTGTTTATTTATTTTACACATACATTCATTTTAAAGGTTATTTTTATCTTAAATTGATATCGATTATAAAACCATTGTGATATAAGGAGTACTGGACAGTTGTTTTAGTTTCGGATTCACTGACTCATAGATTATTTAGATACATATGGTGATCTGAAAAACATGCCCCCAAATGCCCTGGTATGGCCGAGAGGAGTGGGCCCGCCCTCCCCCTCGAAATGCTTTCACACGGCCACGCGCACACGGCCCCTGCCAGGGAAGTCCTACTCACTGCCTTCTCGTGGCGGTGGTGTTGTTTACGAAAATGAGAGGACGAAAAGCGAGTGTCCGGCGCTTTAACCGGATCTCAAACCAATGGTGTACATGGACCCCAGTATCCTGCAGGAACAAGTGGCGTACGAACCAATTTTTGGTCACCGGCTACCATGGGACTGCATCTCCTCACAATGCTCTACTGCCTTGTGGGTTAGACCTTTAGGTCAAAGGCTCGGGGTGTTACTGGCGAAAAAAACACCTGCTTCGGTCTGGGCACCCGGCTAGTATCACACTCCTCACACAAATATGATGAACTGTCGATAATTATGGAAAATACTTTGCTTGCTTCGATTAATAATCAAACGATTCACATTACTATTATTATTACTATTGTTATTATTATTATTATTTACTACGCCACTTTTTCACTCTTTTATTCCCACTCTGTCTGACCTTACTTTTCGACTTATACAGCAGCTCGCCTTTGGTGGAAATTCGGTTCTGTCTAAACGTTCTCGAGTCACTGCCTGGTTAAAAGTTGGATGCTACCACCGAATACGAATACTGAAGCAGTTTCTCTGAAACCACGTGCACCATTCAAACTGGCTACCTTCAACGTTCGCACACTTATGCAGGTTGGACAACAGATAGGGCTGGCTATGTCTTTAGAAAGTCTTAACATCGATGTTCGCTGTCTAACCGAGACCCGTATTCAAAACTCTGGTGAAGTACTACAAATTCGCTCTTCATCTGTCTCTTCAAAAAGCTTGTTTTATGTGCGTTTATCCGGGGACCCTGTGGTATCTTCGTCTGATCTTGCTGGCGTTGGTGTCGCACTAAGCGCTAGAACTGAGGCAACACCAATCGATTAGATCCCCATTAACAGTCGGTTATGTGCTGTTAGATTAGAAAGTTCCATCAAACTGATAAGAAATTAGTGTGAGAGACGATGTCTTTTCGTCATCTCCGCCTATGCCCTGACAGATTGCAGCCCGGATGCAATCAAGGATGAGTTTTACCACCAGTTATCTGTTCTTCTCCAGAAAGTGCGTTCGACAGATATTGTAGTACTAGCCGGAGACTTGAATGCTCAGGTCGGGCGTCTAGGCACAGAAGAGAGTCGTTTAGGTGGCCGATGAGGACTCGTTGGTCGCAGGTCAGATAACGGGGACCGTCTACTGAAACTGTGCACAGACCACAACCTGTTTCTGGCTAGCACTAACTTTCGGCACAGTCATCGCTGATGTGCCACCTGGCGTCCTCCCTCTGCATCCCAAGCTTGGACTCAGGTTGATCACATCGCAATCAGCTACCGCTGGCGTGGTTGTGTACAAGACTGCCACTCCTTTTCGAGTACCTATCTGGACTCTGATCATTCCTTTGTCTGCGCCAATCTTACCTTTTCAGTGGACAACGAAGTGACCGCCATCAACGGATTGATATTAGCAATCTGGTTGCAACTTCTGTTGCACGTAAGTATCGAATCGAGCTAGCTCCTAGGCTAGCTACCATTCCACCGAAAAGTATAGATAAGCATTGGTTGCAATTGCATGACGCCATGAAAATGGCGGGAACAGTCAGTTGTGGGTTTGCGAAACGTCCCGCTTTTAAGCACTGGGTTTCTTCTGGTTCCTTTCAACTCATTGAAGCCCGTCGGTCTACTCCGGGTGACCGTGAGTTTGACCACAAACGAAGGATGTTACGTAATGAAATCGGGCAAATCTTGCGTAAGGACTGAGAAACCTGGTGGTCAGAGCGTGGTAATGAGCTGGAAGCAGCAGCTGCATCTGGTAATTACCGGAAGCTCTTCCATCTCATCCGAGCCACTGGCAGCAAGAAGTCTGGTGTGAATGAAACAATCTGCGAGGATGACGGAACGCCAATCACTAACATCCATCGATGTCTTTGACGATGGGCAGAATTCTTCGAAGGGCAGTTCAACTGGCCTGCTGCTACGGCAACCTGCCCTCCATGACCGGTGACGACTGATCCACCAATGGAGGCAAAAATCTGCAAGGGACTCTAACTCTTAAAGCGCTACAAATCACCTGGCCCAGATGACTTATCTCTGGCTCTTTTTAATGATGGTGGTGACTTTCTGACTAAGGAACTGACGATGTTGTTTACAAAGGTCTGGGAACTACAGAGTGTACCAACGTCATGAAATGAGTCGATAGTTGTCCCTATCTTTAAAAAGGGTTCACGTCGTTTTCGTAACAACTATCGGAGTATAAGTCTACTTCCGGTTGCGTCCAAGCTGTCGGCTTCGTGATGTTAGTCTGGCTGTGAGGGCAGTTCTACCCTATACTTGTGGAGCCTAACCTCTCCGAGTTGAGGATGTTAGACGACTCTCTGTTATTGATCATCGTTGTCTCCGAAGGATTGCTGACATCCAGTGTCAACACCATGTTAGTAATACAGAGGTTCGGTATCGTGTGTTCGGGCACAGAGATGATAATCCAATTGGTGTTACCATCTTGAAACACCGACTTCGGTGGCTTGGACATGTTCTCCGAATGTCGTCCCAGATAATTCCACGTCGTGCATTATTTGCCGACTCTGGGACTGGTTGGAAAATAGCGGAGAGCTGCTCAGTGTTTGACATGGTGTCGTGGCATGAAAGAAAGCTGCAGAGGGCTGGGCTGTGTCGGTCCTTCACGACGCCCTGGCTGGGGTCCGGGAGATGGTGCAACACAGTGGCTCAGTCAGTCAGTCAGTAACAACGTAGAACTTCGTACGTACGTACATCAGTTCGAGTTGCTACACCACATTAGCAGAGAGATGCAGTTGTCGATTCAAATCGCGTAGTGGTAGAGGTAATAAGAGTATAAGCAGTAATCGGGAAGATTAGGGTTTGGAGATGTTATTTAAAGAGTATAATCCAGTGAAATAAATTTGGAAAGAGGAAAAAAGGGACGTGAAGAATTCAGAAGATTAGAATTTGGGAGAACACAGAGAGTGGATGCACCTGCGCCATTGCAAACGATTTTGAGCCATGTCATTCAGGGTCTCTAACCATCGGTTACTATCATCTTGCGGTCCCCAACCAGGTAGTCTACACCTACCAACATGACTCAGTTCACTTGTCAGTGACTTCATGGACTTGAGCCATGTTTTGGTTTGGCCGCCCCTAGCTTTCTTCCAACCTACTCCTATACCACTGAACATAGCACGTCGAGGCAGTCGGTCAACACAGTGGCTAGAGACGTCATGAGACATGGCTCAGAATAGAAGCCAATGGCGATCCTGCTGTAACCTTATACTTCCTTCATAAAAAGTGGTTGTTTCTTCCTTAACTGAAAGATCTCTTCGGACTGTACGTTTCTGTTTCCCCCATCAATATTATTATTATTATTATTATTACACTACCTTACACTAATCTGTTCGTTATTTTTCTTTTTTGTAACGCCAAGTGTTCGTATATAAGGCTTTCGAGATGTTAATAAGTTTTTTGGACACCCTCCTCCAATAGACAATCCTAGAGAAAAGTCCTGTTACACCAACTGAGGGCAGTCCTGATATCAAGAGACAACGGTTACTGGCCTGTAATATGTATGGCGATGCCATAACATTTGTCGGAGGGTTATGATATGACCAGTGCATCTTCAACGAGAATAAGAGCCATCCTGCCACTTACAAATTAGTCTTTCAAGGATTTGAGATGATCTGCTAAGTATGACAGAAGCCAAAATTTTTATGTAGTTAAAAGTAGACTTATCCCATAGGTGGTGTAAATCCCTTTTAAAGATAGGTATGACTATTGTCTCACTTCATGATTTTGGGACACTAATTCTCAGACGTTCGCAAATAACTCAGTCGATTACGTAATCAGAAGTTTGCCACTATCCTTAAAAAGAGCTGTAGGGAAGTCATCTAGGTCTAAAGATTTGCGGTGTTCTAGAAGTTGTAGTTCCTTGTGGACAGTAAACCAGAGAAACATGTACCTATTTATATTCGGTAATTTTGTTGTTTGATTATATTTTCCTTGAAAAAGCTTGGACCAGATTGCCAGGTAAAATGTTAGATTTACTCTAAATTCTTTCGCTGAGATTTTACAAATACATTCTTCCTCTTTAATGTCAAACCTTTAATTGTTTTGGAATTAAAAACCAATTGCCTCAATAGTTCTTCGTGATCGTAATGTTATATCACGTGCATGACTTTCTTAAACGTCATCTTTCAAGTTGTTTTGTGTATTACAATAGCAAATGATCTAAAGGGCTGTGATATAAATGGTGGTTAATGTTGACTTTCGCAATTATCGTGGCCCTAAAAGTATTTCATGCGCTAGGGGTCATGGCGTATATTCATAAGAAGCTGTGTGAACATAAGTGTGAATATACTGCTTTACTATCATTTTTATTTTGGTTATTAGTTTCTTACTAATACTGTTATGTATGTTTCAAAAATACTGCGTGCTTAAATGTAACGGTGGACATTATCTGTGAATGATCCATGTGTTATCACATTGTTGAATAATAGTTCTAGCTATATCGTGGGAGTTTTAAGTTTTTACAGAGAAGAATTACTAAACATTGAATAAGCTAGTTAATAAATTATTTTTAATTGTAGTGTAATCATTTCTCAGTTTCTTAAGTGTATATTTCAAGTATTTTACTGAATTGTTTGTAGCAGGTTTATACCAAGCTTTCAGTATTCGGATAGTAAATTCAAACTTTATTCCAATCTAGAAAGTTATGTGATGTTATTCTTTGTGAATTACATACAAATCACTAACTCTTAGTTGATCGTTTATATATTTATGTTTATTTTATGCATTCTCAGGTATATTTCTCTGGCTTCATACAATCCTGATCATTTACGTGATTTGGCCATACATATTCCTGATTTTGGAAGAGTCATATTAAAGCTGTTTGATGAAACTGAACATATACGAGTGAGCAAAACATGGTCCACTTGTTCAATGTCTAAATGTGATTGTTTTTTACTACTTTAACGTAGTTTTAATTCACTGTCATACATAACCTCCATTTTCCCAACAGTAAAACGTGGAATTTTCCGAACACATCGTGAATGAGTTCAGTAGTTGCCATATGTTTAGGCCGTATAAATGTCAAGAACACATAGTGTAGTGTAATGAAGTAGCTCTTTGGATTGTAGGGATAAGTATATACTGCCTATTTATTAACTTAAAATTACACTATATCACGTTTTTCTAAATATCCAAGGTTGTTTTTATTGGATTTTAGACGTATTGCTTCTAAATTCGTTATTCGTCAGGATCCTAGCCCTCGATTTCGATGTCTAAGTAATACGACAGTGCATCAGCCCGTCAGTTAACAACATAGAACTTTGTACATACGTACATCAGTTCGAGTCGCTACACCACATTAGCACAGAGATGCAGTTGTCGATTCAAATCCCGTAGTGGCAGAGGTAGTACAAGTATAGCCAGTAATCGGAAAGATTAGTGTTTGAAGTTGTTATTCAAGTAGTATGATCCAATGAAATAAATTTGGAAAGAGAAAGAAAAGGGACACAAAGAACTATTTCATCGGCATATTCTAAGTCAAAATGTGAATCTCCCGGTAGAAGTTCAACCCCTAGAAATTTAGGCGAGGAAAGTATTATCTCTAAAAGCACGTCAACGACAAATTTAAACAAAAATGGAGAGAGTGGACAGCCCTGACGAACACTATTTGAGGTAATCGATTCTGATGACAGTTCGACATAAGCTCTCACTCTACCAGTTGTGATCGAGTAGAGAGCCTTTACAAGGTTAATGTACTTCTTTGGTACTCCTTTCAGTGACAAACAGTGCCATAGAACCTCACGATCAACAGAGTCAAATTCATCCTTAAGGTTGAGAAATACTACGATTGTGAGGTGTCTGAATGTGTGTCTATGTTCTAGGACCTGACGTAGTGTGAATATATGGTCTATGCAACCACGTCTAGGTCGAAAAGCAGCATGATTTCCTCTAGTCTGCTCTTCACGAGCTTTAGTTAGGTGTCGAAGTATTATTGGAGCTAATATCTTAGACACAATTTTAGTCAAACTGATTCCTCTGGGATTGTCACAAGAGGACTTTTGTCCTTTCTTATAGACTGGCACAATCAGTGATTGAGACCAGTCAGATAGGATTACGTCCAGTTCCCAAATTCTACCTAAGACCTCAGTTAATCTCACTGCTAATACTCAACCACCATCCTCAAAAATCTCAGGAGTAAACCTGTCAGGGCCTGCCGCTCTCCCTCGCTTCAGATTTCCTATGGCTTTTTCAACTTCGTAAAAAGACGGAGGACCTACATTAACTTGCCATTCATGTTGACTGGAGATCGTGATAAACCGAAGTGTGGCTGAAGGCCAGTTGAACTGATCCCTAAAGTGTTCTGCCCATCGATCCAATCTCCTGGATTGAGAATGAATAATATGTCCATCTTTCTCTGAGAGTGTTTCGCTAACAGTCGGTTTCCTAATGCCGGTTTCCTTAACGAGTCTGAACAATTGTCTGCTATTACCTATTGCCACTGCCTTTTCCATCTCTCTTGCTTTCGCTACCCATCACTGTTCACTATCATTGCGTAGGCTTCTTATCAGCTTGCGCTCAGGCTGACTCCGATCTTCGTTATGTTCAGATCTAGATGGGATGAGTTTTCGAGCATCTATCAGTGCGGTAGATGCTGCTGAGATCCAGTGTTTCTCCCTAACCTTGTGGTTTACAGTACTAGCAGATATCACTGCTGTTTCCACAGGTTTTCGGATATCATTCCATGCTGCCTCGGGGTGGGCGTCACATAAATGGCTGCCTAACTGTTTTTCTGGTCGTTCCTGAAATATATTTTTATCTTGGCTATAATTAAGTAGAACCCTAAAAGGTTTCCTTGCAGTGTCTTTCCTACTTCCAGTAAGACGCAGAAAATTAGCGCTCGCATATAATTTTTTCAAACTAGACTTTGGATAGTGCATCACGCTAAACAATTTCACCACTCACAGTATATATATATATATATATATATATATATATATATATATATAATCCGTAGTATGTAGTTGTGTACTTTTGTCGTAGGGGAACACAATATACCGTATGCCTCTCCTAAACATTTCGAGATTATTTCTAAGGAATGTTAGAATCAATCTCGGTCATTCAGCTATGTATAAAATTGGTCTTCGCTTATATATGCCCATTGTTCATTGTTTCATTTGTATTTTGTATATTCAATTCACGAAATAAAATTTGCCTCATTTTCTTCACTTTTTGAATCTGAAAAATAGTTCGAAAAAGTTGGGTCAGAGGAAAATAATCAGTGCACACTGATAATGAACTTATTAATTAATCTATTTAAACGAATTATTTTCGTTGATCATTTAAATCCCCTCCTGTTATCGCAAATTAACCGATTAGCAAAAAAGAACACTTCTGCAGCAGAATTTTGGAATTCGGTTGCGTGTGCTATAAATATGTCTTAAAATAATGTTAAATAAAAATGATACATATTAATTTGATTGTTGTTTTGTAAAACTTTTGTGGTTACTATCTCTTCCTGTTTGTGTTAATAGCTTTGTAAATTGGCCTTAATTATACTATCCATGGAAGAATTCCTCAAACTATTTCGCCGATACCTTTGAGGCAGCTATTATTTTGAAAAGTTTTCACAGTATCCAGATTATTTCTGTTTAACTGATGTCATGTCAGATAATTGCTTAATGCAAATTGTCACTTATACTTATTACTATGCCTTAATGATGGAATTTGCAAATTAAAGGGATACTTCGCAATTGGAGTAATGATGTAGCGGTCAAAGGGATCAACTTTCAGACATAATCTCGCGGGCTCAATCTTTTCCTCACCCGATTTAGTTAGGAAGGCCGGGTATTATCACTAAATCGGACAAAATGTTCGGTTGATAGACGATTATATCAACTTATACTCGGTTACTGAGTTACATCCACTTGATTTTCATGAGGCATCTCACGGGGTACTTCCACTATGTATTACCAGTCTACATTAGCTTTAGGAACAGAAAAACAGTTCCGAAGTTGTTTGAAAACTGTTGCGCCTATTACTCCCAGTGGAGCATATGTCGCCGACCAGCCTTCTTCAACCCACTCTGTTCTGGGCCTTCCTTCCTAGTTCTATTCAAATTTTGTCCATTCTTCTCATGTCTTTATCCATTTCTTGGCCCAATTCGTTCTTTGGTTTTGGGGATTCTAGTTGAGGGCTTGCCATGTGACGCAGTTGGGTGCTTTCCCCATTATGTGTCCTATCCACTTCCAGCGCTTCTTCCTCCACTGGGGTCTGGTTTGTTCTCCCACAGTAGGTTGTTGTTGATGGTGTCTGGCCAACGGATCCGAAGTATTTTGCTTAGAAAATTGTTAGTGAACACTTGTATCTTCTGGATCTTCGTAGATCTCCAAGCTTCCGCCCCATACAGTAGAACTGTCTTGACATTTGTATTGAAAATTCTGACTTTGGTGTTGGTTGACAGTTGTTTTGAGTTCGAGATGTTCTTCAGCTGTAGATATGCTGCTCTTGCTTTGCCGATCAGCACCTTCACATCTGCATCAGATCCACTGCGCACATCAATGGTGCTGCCCAGATAAATAGCTCTGCAAAATAAATTTTCAATCCTACTGGTAAATTCGATAGTACTAAATGTAATTAATATACATATTCAGTTCTTTTTATAGAATCTAATATATTTATTCCGGAAGATCTAGACGAATCTGCATGAAAGATATTGAATGAAATCGTTAAAAAAGGTAACACTTGTATTGCTGATATGTCTTTAACTTTATTTACCTCAAACTTCAGCAGCATTTTTCATCTGTTAGTCTACCAATTAACTCTGCTACTCCTAATAGGGTATGGGCCGTCAACCATAGGTATCCGACCAACACCTTCCAGGGGTCTTCTTTCCACTTGTTCTCAACTGCTAATCATGGTTTTCATGTCTGACTCAAAGTCCCAGTACAAAGTGTTCTTTGATCTGCCTCTTTTCCTTCTACCTTCGGCGTTTAAGTTAGGCCTTGTCTTAAGATTCAATTTGATGGTTTCCGTAAAATTTGTCCTTTACACCGTCATCAGGTTTTCTTAATTTTCTCTTCGTGTGACAACTGGTCAATTCTCTCTCAGAGAAGATTATTTCTGATGGTTTCTTGCTAACGAACCTGAAGTTTTACATTTGGTTTTAAATACATTTTAGTTTTTGCCTTCGTACGGTGACCAAGATAATTCCGAAAAGTATTGGAAGATCGTTGGAGAGTTGAATGAGATGCTTGATTACAAATCAGATGAAATGGCTGTTCGAACATTTTTAGTTCTGTGATCTAGTCAAGACCCAATAGATTGAAGGATTCATGAGTAACATAGCACTTGGATCTAATTATTTGATCAATAAATTTAACAATACACTTGATAATTCCGGAAATTATAATTGGGATGCCTGATGCATTCTTTAAGCGATCGTTAGTAGGATGAATGCTTGGCCGATCATGATCCTGTTAAGTTTGCCAGAAATTAAAGTGACATCAGATGCAGCGTTCGACTGCAAAGTGATAATACGATCATTAACATTATTGGGTAAATACTTGCGTAAGTATTGGGGATTAGATTTCGACAGTGTATGTACACAACTGATCCCTTTTGGCATTCGACAATGGGTTGAGGATTTATTGCATTTGCAAGATTCTTTCTTATGGCCCGTTACTCAACATTTTGCGCAATTATGTCTACTAAATGGACAGAAACGGGAGAATTGCCATGCTACAGTTTCAACAACTAGTGGGAGGCCTTGTAGAGCGACGTGAATTAGAGTCATGGGCATTATAAGTTCGATTTGGGCTAGGAAAATTTTGCGAATCATGCTTCTCGACATAAATAGTGCGATCTGTATGAGAAACTTATCAAATCAAATGAATTGGGATTTGGACGTCCGGTCATTTTATTCTCATTATTAAGATTAATAGTATGACGACATTCATTTGTAACACCTTTTAGCGTAATAGGGGGACCTGAATTGAGTGCGCTTAAAGTTCCATTATGAATATCTGAGTCTGATGATGCCTGCAACTCGCATACAAAGATAAGACCCTATAATTTTTCGCATCGTTTATTAATAGATACTGAATATGAGACAAAATAATCTTCATGTCTCTTAACTGTTCTAAAACAATTATATAGCAAATTAAATAAAGAAGTTTGATTAGTAAAGATTTCTGTACGATAGAATCAAAAGAAAGATCGTTGGGTTTTTCCATGAGATAGAGTTCGATTAATTCTCATGTCCAGCTGCTTCATGCTTACGTAATAGAATTCTCACCTTCGAAAAGTCATCATGGTGAGAAAACTCAACTTGGGAAATATCTTCATACATAGTGAACCATGATTCACATGTAATACCAGCCTCAGGATCAAGATGAAACCCGCCCATTGAATTGACCTGTGATTCGGTAGTTGAGTCACCTACTTCGGGAATTTGTGCTGAATTATCTTGAACTGAAAACTTTTATGTTATCATTTAGGTCATTTTAAATCGTGATGCTGCTGTAAAATTGTCTTAGGATGATCAGCCGAAATCGACTTTCGCGTGAGTTTGGCAAAAATAACGTCGTCAGAAACTGTTGTGACGGGCGATGTTCAGAATTTGATACTGATACGTATGTACAAACAACTATAATTTATAGACGACCTTTGAGCGACGCTGAAGTGACCTTGAGAGCGAACAATTGCTAATTAGGACTAAATGAGAGTTATAAAACAGGATTCTCATTTATAGTTGGTAGTTAGGGTTAAAAATTAGATTTAGGGTTTTCATCACGAACTGACACGAGCTAGAATGCCAAAACTCTATTTAGCCAAATGTATGAATGAATTCCGCGCCCGAATTCGTGACTCATCTTATATCTGATTGGTTAGTCTAGAAATAATAGTCTCGCCACTCTATCCCTTAAAACTAATCCATTTAGCCAATTAAATGCACTTGTCCTTCAGATCACTACCGATTGTCATCGAATGACTTTCTCATCAGGTTAGTTCTTTTTGGATTACCATGTCGAAATACAGCGATTTTCTAGTCTCATACCATCTCGTTTCTTTCTGCCAGACTATGTCACCGCGTGACGCAATTATAGCCGGTGTTTTCCATCCCAACCTTTGCACTTTGCTTCCTCATCACGATTATATCTTTTCCTGGGACTACAGCCTCTTACGAAACTTAATCGCATTCCGTGCTTTTGTCGGTGTGTGAGTAGCATTCAGTAACTTTCATTGTAATCCCTTCCTTCTGGATAATGCTGTAATGATCCCAGGGCCATGGGTTCTTCATCTTATAAGTGACTTTTGTACAAACTTTGTGAATGTGACGGATTTTCTTCTTTATGACCAGAATACAATAGCAGCACTGTTGAAGTCAGTATTTCTGACACAGATTGTGTTCAACAGGTTTCACTTATTGCAATTGCAATCCGGTTGTACCCTAGCGGTTCCCCATATCGTTCGGACATTCCGCGTCCCAATGTTTATTGTTACCCTAATCGACAATAGAGCGTTGGCTTTTGGCTCCCGAACAATCCAGCCTTTATCATGAGGAGTCATGAACACTACAACTTGTGGCATAGGTGGGTTAGCAACCGTGTCCGTAAGTTGTCTAAAACGTTCAACTGGCTCTTTTTGAAACGCTGCTGCTGTCGCTCAAATAGCAACTGTAATTGATCGGAAGAGATAGTCATTTTCTGAACCAGCACGGTAATGAAAAATACTGTATGACGAATTAACAACCAATGTCTTCCAAGGACACCGATGACAAATCTGGATGTTGGTTGCTCGAAATAATTGGACTGAATTTCGTCAAATTACCCCGTCGCCAATTTTTATAACTTTTGACCTGTTTGCCCTGTTTATTGTATAACGTAACGGTACCGCCAATCAGAGAGCAGTGAATTGTCGATCGGACCAGTGACGCATAAAACCAAGTACGAGCAGTCTCGAGTCCTTATTGGTCCTGCTTTCCGCCTAGCCTAGCCAGTTAAGTTCAGAACATCAATCTCAGCCTCTGCAATATGAATCATTTATTTCAAGGATACTGGGTTTATATACCAACCAGACAGACTACATCGTACCATAAAATATGAAACAACATTTGTACAAGTATTAACCAAATGTGGCTGTGAATGGGGGAGGTAGTAATTAATAGACGGGGCATAATTCAAGAATGGTAAATCGTATAATAACAGTTCATAGGTCAAAATAAAGCTCATAATAAGAGGGATATGAATATGAACAGTTTAGTTTAACAATTATACGATGAAGATATACGCATAGTATTGGCCCATAAATGGATCCCAAAAGTTATCATTCATTATGCTTATCGGGACATAACAGGAGTATAACTACTTTTTATATAATTTGAAAATAATGTTTGACAATCAACATTTTTGAATAGTTCTTGCTAATTTAAATAACCGACTGCCGTATGTTGGTGTTATATGCACTAACAAATTTATTCGAAACTATTGATAAATCGTTTCTAGAAATTTTAATTGTCTAATCAAATGAATATGCATTACAAACACCCTACTGTTCGTTTAATTTTAGTAAGAACGAAGCTAAACACAAAGATTTATCTGCCAAGTATCCGATATCATTCATTGGTTTTCTGTCAAGCATCAATTTGTCATGAAAATAATCTTCAAATACGAACATTTCAAAGGTAATTATTACCATGAGCTGACATATATTGGATAACAGAGGCGATTGAACAGTTTTGTGTACTGACCTAAGGAATGGTTAGAAATGTGCACATGACCTAGAATAGGAATTTCGAGTCTCAGAGAAAATCATTTGAGCTCAAATGGTTTAATGTTTCAGCCTGATGAATTTAGGATCGATCAACAATATCAAATGATCAAAGGTTTTCAATTATTATAATAAGTATTTTGCCTTAAAACTCAGTTTGCCTCATTTTTAAGCTCTAATATCGCCCTGAGCTTATGTGATATTTAACTAGGTTCCTTTATTTGTAGAACATTTCCCTTAATCTTTTCATTAAAAATATATTAATTAATAAAATTCCGAAAGGAATTAAGTGAAATTCTATTTTTAAGATTAGAGGTCCTAGGACATCTAAATCACTGATCAATCAATAATTTGATTTGTTTGACCTCCTGAAATAATTCTAAGATGTGGACAACATATCAGAAACTGATGAATCTGTAAACGTGTTTATTTTATATGATGGGCAGTTTACGATAAAACAAGTACTACAATAATTCACCCGACCAGCCATCAAAATTAAATGTATTAAGCGAGCTTCAGTATAAGCAGTTAACAAAAAGAATTTTCGTAATAATATTGTACAAATCTATGAGTTGCCGTTTAAACAATATAAATGAGTATCTAGGCACATATTCTTGTACCTTTCATCGAGTTACACTTGGATGTTAGAACTTGTAACACTGACTATCCAAGCCGAAGCAAACGAAATGGGGTTCATACCTTTGCAGTGGCTGGAACTATGTCAAGCACACATAAGTTATTCTAGCCTCTGGACAGACCAACCTTTTGGTCCTTCTCGAGCCACATTTTTATCCTGTCACTTATCCGCCCATTATTATTCCTGACTGTTCTTATATGATCGTGTGTACGTGTATTGCTTACTCTATTCATCACATGTCTGTAACTTATTTTGTCGATTCACGCTGGGCTTAAATGCCTTCTCTGATCCGTTTCGCTTCGCTCTCATCTTTGCTTTCCTGGCTTCGTTTCCTTAATCGTCTGTTTGGATCAACGATCGTATGAAATAGACATATCCGAAATACATTCTTGTATTTGATTTATTTAATTCCGTTATTCACTATTATTATGTACGAGGGTTGGCGGCATGTATGTCACGATAAAAATCAGCAGACGATTGGATTCAGACACAGGGCCACACAGAACGGATGAGCCCGACGACGAACTTAACGCAGCAAATTACGTCGATGAAGAACCTTCCGCACCCTATATTTTCGACGAACGAACTCAATGTAGCTTACGCAATCGGTAAACAACACTTTTCGACCGTACGATCAAATCGGAAAAAGATCATGGCACCACTAAACCTTCGACTCAGTTGCTGGAAGTCAAATAATTTCAACAATTAAAGCACCATTTATGAGTTGAATTGTAATTCAACATATACGTAATACAGTCAAATGGGTTGATTTTAGAAGTAGTTTGTCACAAGTATACGGAGATGAGAGGCCAATCTTAATTCGAAAGCCTCTCAAAGAATAGAACATTGTTAGACAGAAATCTGGAAATGAATGAATAATTTATAATCAGAGTGGGGATTTGTGGAGATTGTAGTAACTTTAATAGTTGAATTCGTGAGTCGATTTAACCAAAACCACCACTGAGAACATGGACGCACTGGAAGGTCGTTTCGTCCTAGTGTGGGACTCCTTAATAGTTCGTATTCACAATCCCGTACGCGAAACTCAAACCAAGGACCCTAGGTATCGTGCGCAAACACTTAACCATAGACCACTGGGTCGGCATCCAACGGTGTTAATGTCTAACTCCAATCAGTCCATGATCTTGTGCGAACCCCATCTATTATCTGAAGTGGATAACTGTTTCCATGCAACACGGATTGGACTCAACTATTCACGGTTCCTCACCAAATGGATGGTTTAGCTTAGATCGACTCATGAATTCAACTATTAATTATAATTTATAAGTTAGGAATAAATACAAGTATCATTAAATGGTTATTTTGCATGTCTCATTAAATTAGGAAAAAGTTATTTTTAGTTATGTCTAATAAACTCATTCACCATACTAGAACTGTAGTTATTGCTATGTCGAAAAATTAAAAACAGGTGTAAACCGGTTATATGCCTACAAAGAATGCGGAACAGTATCAGGTATTTAGTATACAGAAAACGTAGCACGTGGTAAATTAACAAGAAAAAAGTAATAATGTTTAACCACCACATATAGAGAACAGTACTAAATACATCCATTAATATATATATATAATCCATTGGGCGCTACTTATCGAGAGTTTTTGCTCTTCTTATGCTAATCCCTTTGTTCTTACTGTTTACTTTGTGCCTAACCAATCATACTGATTTACAATGGGATAATTATGTTCAGATAATTTCACAACAGGAAGCACCACAGTTGAAAATTAGCAACTAATCATTTTAAATGTATTCGTACTGTTACGGAATCCAAAACGCGTCTTTCTCCCTAAATAGGGCTAGTTAGTTAGATATGCTTGTATCTCACAGTTGATGTTCGTACTGAGACTTTCCTCCTGTAAATTTCGACTTAAACCCTAGAGCGTAATTCAGTGAGTCAAGATAGCCACTAAATTGTTTGACGGGAATTAATTTATATGTATGTAAAACTAAAAACTCGTAGGTAAAGGCATTATTGAGGTAATTCACTCAGGATCCCAGTTGAGATTGATAAACTTCAGTCTCTAATATTAGCAACGAAAAAACTTAAACTTTTATAAATATACATCTCTTATTTCCTGCTTGGATTTAAGACGGGATAATACTACGTGATTGCAATATAGCTCTGAGTTTTCCGTACATCCTTTTTCTAGATGACTCTGAACATATCCAGCATAACAAGCATAATAAAGATATTATTGAAACATAACTACAGAAAACACGATATACATACATAAACGCATTCAGAATAAAAATTAGTATTATAACACCTTACGTAATACAGGATAAATGTACCATATATATAACACTTAATGAATTGATTTGGGAATCGAAGGGATCGTTGCTTTGCCTTCAAATGGAACACCTATTAAAAACCTAATAATATAAACAATGTTAATTTGAGCAATTGATCGTTGATTTACTCGAAGGAATTAACGTGTGGAAGTAAGGAACAATCTAAGCAAGAAGTAACAGGAAAACAAATGAAAAAAAAACATCTAAAAATGATAGAAACAGTCACCTACCAAGGCATACCAATACACTAGAAGTTCGATTATTAAAAGGTTAACAAGGAAGGACACAGCCAAACAAAATAAATTTGATGACAACCAAATATTAATAATACATTGAGATGAGTACAGGTTAACAGTAATAAGTATTGTTAGTTTCACTGTGAGTAGGTTTATCAGTAAACGAAATTTGGTTTAAAATCATTTGAATAAACCGTATAATATTTTCAGTGTCACTTTTAAAAGTCTAATTGTGTGAAGCAGAGTAAGACACAAGTTATCAGCTTATATGTCTCATATTAATTATGAATTCATTAGTTCTAGTATTAGGAATGTACATAGAATGATATGTACAATTCATTATTATTTTATTGCTAACAATAAGGAAGGTCCTAGCTAAAATTAACAATTAGAACTGAAATTGTGTGTGCATATGTTTAGGTCACACAGCGAGAAGAACATTGTATAAACAATGAAGTAATCAACCTGAGAATTAAAATTTTAAGAACGATTATTGAACATTAATTAAAAACAGTTCGTGTTCGTTTACAACTAATTTTTTGATTAATTCTATTAGCGAAACTAATTCGTCGAAGATTATGATTATTATAATGTGCATAACTGCGATATTGACTCCTTTTATTCGAAGCAAAATTATGAACCGGTTTTCGCGTAGTTGTACTGAATGATCGTTTAAGTTTCCGTAACTTCACAAAATTGGACAGCCGGTGATGAACAGATGAAGTTGATGACTTTTTGGAGATTGGAGTAGGTGGCGGCGGGGGCGGAGGAGAAGTGGAGGTGGAAGAACATGATGAAGAATTCTTGTAGAGATCGAAACGACTAGATGAATCCTCACGAACTACACAATCGGTCACTGCTAAAACATATCAAACAAAAAAAATTAGACCAGGCTAAGAAGTGCAAACTACTAATAAGAAATAGTTTCACAATAGGCAATTTTTCCTTAATATTGAGTTTGGAGTTAGTTTGGTAATGACACTAAGTTGTATGATGATAGTGAACTACATTTACTAAAATAATTAGCCAAAATATTTTTGAAAAAGTACTAATTGAAGTAAAATAGACTGGGATACATAAGCAAGTGAGGAGAAACAATTGCTTGCTTAATAGACAAAAAATTCCTATTTCTCATTTTTATTACGTTTTCCATCGTTTTTTCCACACTCATCTTCCCCTCAATTTTTCTGTGAGAAAATTCCACATCCTTCACTATTTATGGCTAACAGTTTTTGACTTATAGACTACAGTTTCAAGATTCATTTGGTAAACCGGGAAAAGGAGCCTTTAATGATCACTCCTACCGATTTTTAAGATATATAAAAAGTCATTAAGAGATTATCGGTGAACATAATGAGTGATCATTACATTCCAGTCTTCGTTGTTATATCTCTGGCGGTCTCTGTTGTCTGGGCGTGTATCGCCGCAGTCACGTACGCATAGACTCTACTGAGTTCAAAGTCATAATGCGCATAATTGACAATTCAGAACCCCTGCAATTTCTCGATCCTAAAACACATACTTCAAAAAGAGAACCATTGTAAATATCGTGACGCAAATAAGAACACAATATCACACAGGTGAAATACAATGAGTTATTGTAAAAGCAAACACATTAAATATTTTGCACCTGAATTGATACAGAGAATACAATAGTCAAACTGAACGAGAGTTCACACTTTTCATATTGAGCGAATTTTATACTAAATCGGTACAAGAAAATATTGACCTAAATAATGTCATCTTTTTACCCCATCATAAAAGTGATTATTTGAACAGACGACGAGTATGCTAGAAATATTACTCGAAAGAAAATTTAGATTAACTAAATAGTCGTAGTTAAATTAACCAGGTCACAGCTTAGCCACATACATGTTGGAAAATAAACGTAGAGGAAAAGCAGGAATGAGCAGAATAGTTATGAAACAATAAGAAACGTGAAATTTTGATGCAATGTATGATGAAATGACCAATCATTACCAGCTAAATGAAGTGGTAAATCATTCTACTTTGAGCTATATAGTCGTAGGTTTGAACGCTGATTCTCCTTTATTACAATTAGAGATGCCGCGTAGTATCACTAGCCCGCACACAAAACCTGTTGCTTTGAGCCGAACACATAAAATTTGTGGTGGATTATAGTCTTGTAAACTCGAGTACAACAATCAGATTACGGATGTATGTATACCAGCTACTTATGATTGTTACAAGGAACAAATCAAATTAAAACAGTAGTGATTGTTTGAATTTCGAAATATTTATAAGACGTCTTGAGGTGACTGAATCTAGCACGAGGGACTAGAAATCGCAAGATCTGTAGTTTTACATTATAGATTGACAATACTGCAATGATTGAAAACTAGGGAGCACTAGACAACTTTTGCTCTTGTATGGAACTTTTCGGCAGTGTTCATCAACGACCCCACTAGGGATCGAATCCAGGATATTTAGGTCTCGTAACAAGAATTTACTTAACCTCTAGACCACCAAGTGGGTATCTAGCAGTTAACATAAATGAATTTAGACTTGCAACCAATTATTGAGTATTCATTCCTATGATATGTTGAGAAACATAGTGGACACAAATGAGAGATACGATTATTACTTGACTTTGGTTATACTTCTTCCTTATCTATTTTAAATTCACTTACTTAAACACATAAGCATTGATCCAACGAGGCACCAGATAAATCATTTGATTTGTGTGAGGGCCTATATATATATATATATATATATATATATATTAGGCTGTTAATTATCAAAAAATTTTCAATAAACAGAAGTACATCAACACCCGTATATTGACTAGGTGACTGAATAGAGATAAATTTCCGTCCCTGCTCTCTCCAACCAAACGAAATATATGTTATTGAACACAATTCCGATTTTTAAATAATCATATTTAAGATGTGATTCAATGGTCAGTGTTTTCTAAATAAACCAATTAGGTTTAATGTAAATAACTGAACTATTGTATGTGAATATGCTAAAGGATAATTGACTGATTTCGAATGATATGGTAAATAAATTTCCATATATGCATTCTAATATTCAGAAGTGTTCATAAGAAGGGAGTCGGCTACTTTGCTACTTGTCCTAGCACCACTACTTTGAAGAACGAAAAAAATAATCTATAAACAAACGTTGACTGATTAGAGTTATTAAACGAGTAAAACATCACGCCGAGAAAAAATCAAGCTCTAGAGAACTCAATTATGTATCGCGAACGTGCAAAACGTTTTGAGTATATTTATTTTCGACTAGTGTGAAAATTTCTCAAGATCAAACGAAAAAGTAACAACTGAAATATCTAACTAATAAAACGAAAGAAGTGATTAAGAGAGAAAAGCATTTTACAACAAATTATTCGAAAGTTATATAATAATTTATGCTGTTGAATAAAAGTCACCTGTTTTCATGGAGAATCTACAGTAATCTTGTATCAGCTGACTAAGTTCAATACGTAGTATGCGTTCACCTTCAATAAAAGTACATTAACAGACATAAATGAAGACGAATTATTCTGTAAGAAAAAACAAACTTGTTAACAAAAGAATTAACATTGTCCTATGTGAAGTAATTCATTCGAATTGAGTATTGAGATGGTAATAAAGGTTAATTTTAGTTATAGACCATATGTTAGCTGGGTTAAGGTAAGAACATCATAACCAACCATTATTGAAAACACATTTCTTATGAAGCTCGAGTATGAACTCTTACAAATTGCTTTGACCTAATAGCTATCCAAAAGTAATTAATATGGAGGATAATACACAGAGATGTTGTATTAACGAGTTTGTTTATCAGACCTAATTTCTCATTCTAAAGAACAACAAGTCAGTAACAGTCGTACACAGGTTCAATATCATCTTAGGAGAATAATATATATTTCTTACTAACCCAGAGGATTTAAGCCATATAGTTCTATATCCATCATATTCAACCATAGTCGAGTTCAAAACATGTATTTGAGAGCGGTTACACCATGGGCTTGTAAACCTGGCGCTTTCGAGACGAGGAGGTTTAGCAACTCTCCGTATCCGATTGTCGGTCTCCGATGGTTTTCTCATATCCAGGACCAACACCATGTTAGTAATGCAGTAGTCTGGCAATGTGTATTTGGGCGCAGTAACGATCATCCGATCGGCGTAACTATATTGAAACACAAGCTTCTGTCGCTTGGTTACGTATTATGAATATCACCTCAGAGACCTCCATTTGTTCATTATTTCCCGACTCTGGAATCTGGTAGAAGAAGCAGAGAGTTGGTTAGTTTATGGCACGCTGTCGTGCTATGAAACTCCGCCTGTAGCTCTTCTAGATCTACTGCCGGTCCCATGACCAGCTAAAGTGAGTTGGACATAGGGTCATCAACCTTATCCTGTGGAAAACAACTTTGCTAAAAAACGCTAACCAGAACAAACAACTTAAACCATTTAAACTTCGCCCTCCGAGTTGAAGGAAGAACTATGACGCCTCATAGTGAAAGCAGAGATTCTTAGGAAGTCACGAAGCCGATGTTCCTCCTAACAACCACAACAAACAATACTATGGATACATGGAATGTTCGGACAATGTGAGAGATCGGAAGGACCAGTCAAACAGCAACAGAAGTGATGAGATACAACTTGGCGGTTTTCCGAATACATGAAACCCATCGGACACAAATGGGACAGAAAATATGCTGTTTTATTCTGGTCACGAATAAGTAAATTCTCTACACACAGGGGGTTGATCTGTTGCTGACCAAACAAGCACGCAAAGCCCTTACACAATGGGAAACTCATGGACCCAGGATCATCAAAGCATCATTCAAAACAAAGAGGGAGGGAATGTTATCCAATCTTATGCACCCAACAATGATAGCAATGATGACGACAAAGATCAGTTTTATGAGGCTGCAATCGATCATAGTCAAGTGTTCAGGAAAGAGCCTGAACATACTGATAGGAGATCGAAACGCCAATGTCGGAATGGACAACAACGGTTATGAAGATATCATGTGACGGCATAGACTGACTGGGAGAAACGAACGATAATGGTGAGATCTACCCAAAGAACAGAAAAGCATTATGGAAAACAACTGGAAAGGGATCAAAGAAGCTCTAACTTCAACGTGTCTGGAGGTGCTGAACAGCAAGAAAGAAAGAACAAGTGCTACCGACAGACTGAAAAGAAGGACAAGGAAAAGAGATCTCGACAAGTGTGACAAATACAATAGTATCATACTAATATCAGTAACAGAAGTTCACAATAGATTGTTGTTGAACCGGATGGAAGATTCAGTAGATACCCAACTTCGAAATCAACAGACCGGATTTCGTAAGGATCGGTTGTGCATAGACCAAATCACGACACTACATATCATTGTTGAGCAATCGCTTCAATTGAATTCGTCACCACACATCAACTTCCTTGACTATAAGAAAGTGTTAGACAATGTGGATAAGAGAACCTTGTGGAATCGTCTTCAACACTATGCTTTAGCTGGGAAAATCGTCGACATTATACAAGATTTATACAACGGACTACACTGCAAAGTGGTGTATGGGGAGACGATGACAGATGCATTCCAAGTGAGGACCGGAGTCGGACAAGATTTCTTGCTCCCACCCTTTCTCTCTTTCTTCTGATGGTTGACTGGATTATGAAGACCTTTACATCTCAGAGGAAGCACGAAATATAATGGATAGCTTGGATGCAGATGGACGACCCAGACATCGCAGATGACCTGACCCTTCTATCTCATACACATTGACAAATGAAGGTACAAACAACTAGTGGAGCAGCAGCCTCTGCATCAATAGGCCTCAGCATATACAGGGAAAAAAGCAAGATCCTTAAATACAACACAGAGAACACCAACCCAGTCACACTTGATGGAGAAGCTCTGGAAGAGGTGGAAACTTCCACGCACCTGGGCAGTATCATCAACGAAGAGGGATGATCTGATGTAGATGTAAAGGCAAGAATTGACAAAACAAGGACGGCATTCATACAATTGAAGAACATATGGGACTCTAAACAACTGTCTGTCAACCAATATCAAAATCAGAATCTTCAATACAAACGTCAAGACAGTCCTACTTTACAGATCTGAGACTTCTAGAAATACAATAACCATCATCAAAGAAGTACAGATATTTTTAAACAAATGTCTACGCAAGATACTCAGTGTCCGTTGACCGGATATCACCAGAAGCAACCTACTGTGAGAGAGGACAAACCGATTTCCAGCTGAAGGGGGAAATTAGGAAAAGATGTTGGAAGTGGATAGGTCATACATTTCCGAAATCATCAAACTGCATCACGGGGTAAGCCCTAACTTGGAATCCTGAATTGGAAAGAAGAAAGAAGGCAAAAGGACACACTGCAGAGAGAAATGGAAGCATACATGAAAGAAGTGAATAGCAACTGGAAACAACTGAAGAGGATTGCCCAGGATAAAGTTTGTTGGAGAATGTTGGTGGGTGGCCTATGCTCTTCCATGAATGGTAACAGGCGTAAGTAGGTAAGTAAGCGTCGTGCTATGAAGAGTAACCATATAGGACTGGCATTTTCGAATTCATGGTTGTGCAAATCAATGGATTCTGATGGTACCAAATATAGTTCAGATAAAAAGCCTGTGGCAACCCTAATTTAGGGTTTTATTGTGCACTTCATAAAGTGAGATAAGCTTCCTTAACTGGAAGAAACCTTTCTTGGATGTATTTTTAACCGAACTGTCTTTTACTACATGATATTTCTACCTATTTATTTGTTGACTGCATTATCAGTCTCTCCTTTGTTTGTTTACAGTGGTCAGTTTTCGTTTGTGTTATGTTTTAAGATAGATAAATATATTTTCCATTAAAATATTTCATACTTACGTTCTAAATTTTTAAGGAATGTCTCTGCTTCTGACGTAGAAAGATAACGAAAGAATGGTTTCAGCCACTGAGGATGCCTTTAAGTTGAACAAGAAGAAAATAGTCAATTGTTTACGAATACAAATGACAAAATAATTCTGTGAGGAGCATGTTACGTTGATAATATATATATAGTGATTTTCTTGTGAAAAAAATTGATGACTCTGTAGGGAAGAAGTGTTTTATTGAAATATTCAAGTTATTAAAGTGATCACATCACATGGTATCTTTTGACTTTGAGGAGCACACGATTTTGACTTTATTGACTACCCAGAAGTAATACAAGGTTTAAGAATGAATTCGGTATCCTACTTTATTCGACCTGGGAACACTTTGAACTTTACTTATTTTCCTACTTTTATTTATAATCTGTCATTAACATTTTCATCGGCGGATAGTAATCATATTTTAATTACATTGATTGTTATTCCAATGAGAATGAGTTTCTCTTTAATGTTGAAAAGAAGGTTAGTTAGTTTATTTAACTCAAAGTTATGATGATTTATTTCTAGCATCCCAATTCAAATAAGATTGAATTTCGGTTAGTAAGAAAACCCTTAAAACTCAATTAAACTGATCCTCGAAGTTCTACCAGAATCAGCGATTCATCCGTACGGTTGAGTTTTCCTAACTTCCGGTTTTCGGAAAATTACCCCACAGAATGCATGAATAATTGATTATTTGTCAGATGATACATCAACGAATGTGTACTGTCAACAGACCATTGTCATATGGAATTTAGAAAAATAGAAACTTTAGGGAAATACTAATCTCTGAACTAAGATAAAAATGACTTACGTAAGAAACGTTTTTTCATAACTTTTAGCACTATAAACACTTTGAGAAATAGAAGATGGTATTCTAGGATGACGAGGTGGACGTCCACGACGGCGATGTACGGGGACCGTTAATGGGGTCTCTACATTTTCAGCGAGCCATGTAAGACTTTTAAGAGAATTATATATATCCGAATTCGATGAAATATCAATCTGAAGTATCTCATTCCCAGGTGTATGATACTGAATTTCTCCACAAGATTCAATATTAACATTTTCTGAGCTTGATATGTTACACCTACAAAAAAGGACTTGGATTATATCAAAGGATGAAGTTTTATGACCGACCAGGTAATTCTATAAATTAATCGCATCCTAGTTTTTTCTATCTAGTATACCTATATTCCACCAAATGTACGCCAGTAGAAATATTTTAAGGTTATCTGACAAACTCTAATAGGTACATATTGGAAATCGAAGACAACTTCAAGAAAATATTAGACAACTGTAGGCGAGACTTAGTGCATTACTAACAGGATATTCACTGTAGTGTATTTACAGTACAGTTTAGTGTGGTTGATTTTTATACAATCTAATTCAGCTTGCGTAATCAGAAGGGCGATAATGAACACAATTACAGGGAAATTTTCCCATCTACGAGTCAATAATAATACAGCTCTTTAGAAACAGATATTACTGGTATACAATAAGCATACGTATATTTTGGATAACGATGTGACTATTCTCTTCACAACCTGAATGAGAAGTGTCTAATTTCCAAAAGCTGACCGGGCCAATAGAGTGAGGTACTTGAGCATTTACAAAGTATCCACAATATTGATTACGGAGTGGCAGTAGATTAAGCTTGATATTTTTAACAACAAATACAGTAGACTTTCAGAATATTACTACAATAGTGGATTTTTTCCGGATATGTGAAACGTTATTTTATCATAAAGTGAACAAACTGGTCAGTTACTTAACTTAAATCAAGGCCAACTTTGGACAGAATGGGACACCTTCCAATATATAAGTAGGAGTATTTTTATAAAATCATTTCACCAGGTGGCTACCAAAATACCAGAACAACTGGTAGCATATGCAAAAACATACATTTCCAAGGTTGATAACATTTCTAGCACTCGATTTTTACCAGTTCAGTAACCAAATTCAGTTGGGGTGATCAGTTAGTACCTCTGTTTCTCATAAAACATTATACAGTTAAAATCCAAATACACTTATCTTTACTTGTGCAAGGAAGTTAGATTTTAACGGTAAGTATCAAAATTAATTCCAAAAATATCTACGTACACCAACAACTTTATATTCATAAGTAAAAACAGGAAAAGTGGTATGTGAAGTTATAGATAAAGATATTATTATATTTATTAAATAAAAACTTACTTCAAGAATTTTTGTGTATTTTGTTGCCCAGTACTCTGATTGTGAGATAAACATGATATCGTTTTAAATTTTTTGGGTGGATGTCCCCGACGCCGTCTCCGAGGTGCAAACAAGGGAGTCTTTACTTCTTCAGCAGGTTGGAAAAGACATCCAATTACGTTTTGTACAGGATCAATCTCTGAAAATGCACTGTTGGTCAATCTATTCGATGGTAAGGTTTGATCATTCCAGCTAGGATATTTGGTCTTTAATCTCAATATACCGGTATCATAAGCGGAATCGGAATTAGATCGAGGGCGAGCAGAAACTGTTTGACTGGATAGCTGCAAATCAATGGTTGATTTGAGGGGGTTTGAATTTAACTGGTCACTAAAATTGCCACACGAAGTTGTAGAATTGGAAGAGGATTCTGCAGAACTAATACCAGAGTCAAGGATTTCTGATGAGGTACAAGACTCAGTCAGCCATGAATCACCGCGGACAAGAAATGTTTTAGTGACATTTGGTACAGCAAATTTTTTACTCATTCCGGGGATATTTAAACTGGCTGTAGAGGAATCCTTATTATTATTTTCCAGAATCTGGTGGGATATGCAGTATTGTTGCAGATTAGGCGTCGGTATTGATTCATATGAACAATTCAAATGGTTTTGTGTCAAAGCTAGCGACTGACCGAAAACTTTGGCGTCCACACGTTCACTTATCATAGCATTAGAATTAAAATTAAAATCACTAATCCGATCAACACAACCTTTTAGTTTAGGGGAATATGCAGTTTCTCGTTCCCTGAAACTATCACTGTAACATAATTTCCGATTAACCTTTTTGATTCGAGAAATACTTAGATGACTCGACCGTTTGGCGTAGCATCCTCTTTTGATTACCCCAGATTTGGATATACAGTTGGATAACTTCTGCTTTGATTGGTTACGGATCAGGTCACGCATAAGGTGAGTAATTAGATTGTGTGAACGTGCCAAACGATGACGGAAATGACGCTCCTGTATATATTGATTGTAAATACCCATCAATGCTAAATAGAAAGCTAGTGTGGCATAAAAAACAAAGTAGAGAAAATGGGTTAGCTAACATGTAAGTAACCTAAATGTAGTATTCTTCTTAAAATATTCAAAGTAGAATAAACCAAACTTTGAACAATAAAATATTACTCCATAAATTTCTAAATTCCCTGACATTTATGGATTTTGACTATCTATTCAACAACATTTTGATGTGATTCTGTTCAATGTAACGTGGTCCCTTTTTAAATTCTACTTTAGCAATCATCTCAAATTCGAAATTTTATGAAGGCTAAAATCATTTTCGAGCATGAGCTTTCATGTAGCTAACTTCGATGTTCACTGTTATAACTTGGAATAGAGATTAGGAACAAAAACTGAGATGGCTCAGTGCAACGAAAAACAGACATTGTTGGTAGATAAGGCTTCCACCATCCAAACACGAGAATAATTTTGTTACGGCTAAATGCAACTATTTGTGCACATATTTACTCAACAAAGGTTGAGTTGCTTATACGATTAGCTAACGGTTACAGTAACAGCCACTAACATTTATTGTTAATCACATTTTTTATGACCTTTAAACCAGTACATTCATAATTTTCATCGTTTCTGAGCTCTGAATATTTTGGAGGCTTAAAGACTCATCGATTACTCAAAATTGAGTAAGAAACATCTCGAGGTATGATTTATAATATATTACACACAAGCTCGAAATCGTCAATTTTTTATTTCCATTAGAATGTAAGCTCGAGAAAGAACGTTGGTACTATATTCCGAGGAAAGGTTAACCTAGTTTGAGGATTCAATAGGTAGAGGAAAGTAAATACTTGATTATAAACAATAACGAACAGAAGAGCTATAAAATAACACAAAAATTTCCCAGTGACCATCAGTAACAAGTTGTAAATCAGTCTGTTGATTTTTAGATTCCAACGAGAGTATATAAAGACAGGGTTGTGTTTGACACACCGAAAATTATACCCAATACTGAAGCCAAAATACTTCACTAAAGCACGATACTAAATAATGCATGGGATAAATTAATATAAGGACGAACAGGGTGTTGTGGATAGTTTGGTTAAGCATAAAATATTCAAATAGTTCAATATGTCATGACTAAATTAGAGTTAGGTAATGATGGATATGTGACTTGATGTGGTTAAATTCTTTTAACACCAAGACAGGTTGAAAAAATAAAAAACCTAATACACGGGGAGATAGGCAAGACTATAATCTATGGAAGAAATAGTGAAATTGCTGGTGGAAAGTCTTGGATTTTGGCACGAAATCTATTCATTCACATGGTTAAATATTTTGGCATCAAAGCCTATGTTGGTTCGTGATAAAAGTCAATCAGTCAGTGACAACACAGAACCTGGTACGTATGTACATCGGTTCAATTTGTCATACCCCATTAACACAGAGAGATGAAACTGTCAGAGCAAATCTCAGTATAGTAGAGGTAGCAACAGTAAGAGTAGTGATGGAAAAGACTGGGTATAAAAGATATCATTCGAAAAAAATATAAACCGGTGAAGTAAAAACACAAAAAAAGTAAAGGGAAATTTAGTCAGAGTTTCGAGGAGGACAAATAAGGGATACACCTGCGCCGCTGCGAACGATTTTGAGCCATACCATCTGAAGTATCTAACAATTGATTAGGATAATCACGCGGAACCCAACCAGGTAGTCTACACCTATTAATACCGTTCGGTCCAGTTGTCAGTGGGTTGGCCGCCCCAAGCTGGACAACAAAGGCTAAATACGGGGAAGATGCTACTATACTGCGGTCATGAAGAGGAAAATGCTCCACACACTCAGCGAGTTGCCCTAATGCTGTCCAAAGTAGCACAAAATGCACTTGTAGGGTAGGAATGTCACGAATCCAGAATCATCAAAGCACCATTCAAAACAAAGAAGGAGGGGATCACAATGAATATTATCCAATGTTATGCACCCACCAATGATAGCAACGACGACATTAAAAATCAATTTTACGAGCGGCTTCAGTCAATCATAGAGAAGTGCCCAAGAAAGGACCTCATCATTCTGATGGGAATAGACAACACCAGATATGAAGATATCATGGGACGACATGGACTGGGTGAGAGAAACGAAAATGGAGAAAGATTTGCAAATCTATGTGCATTCAACAAATTGGTCATAGGAAGCACAATATTTCCACACAAACGTATACACAAAGCTACATGGATCTCACCGGACCACATTACAGAGAACCAGATAGATCATATCTGCATCAATAAAAAATTCTGAAGGACAATGGAAGATGTGAGAACCAGGAGAGGAGCTGATATAGCTTCAGATCACCACCTAGTTGTGGCCAATTTAAAACTGAAGCTAAAGAAAAACTGGACAACTGGACAAACAGCACTACAAAGGTTCGACACAGCCTTTCTTCGAGATACTAACAAAATCAACGAATTCAAGATAGCTCTCAACAGCAGGTTCCAAGCCTTACAGGATCTACTGAAGGAAGAAGAAACTACTATGGAGGACAACTGGAAAAGTATCAAAAAGCATTAACTTCAACGTATCAAGAGGTTCTGGGTCTAAAGAAGCACCATCACAAGGAATGGATTTCCATAGAAACACTGGACAAGATCAAAGAAAGGAAGAACAAGAAAACAGCTATTAACAACAGTCGAACACGAGCAGAGAAAATTCAAGCACAAGCTGAATACATAGAAGTAAACAAGCAAGTGAAGAAAAGCATCAGAGCCGACAAGAATAAATACGTGGAAGAACTAGCAACGACGGCGGAAAAAGTTGCAAGAGAAGGAAATATGAAACAGCTTTATGATACAACGAAGAAACTAGCAGGGAAATACAGTAAACCAGAGAGACCGGTCAAGGACAAAGAAGGAAGGCCAATCACTGAAATTCAAGAACAGTGGAACAGATGGGTAGAATACTTCGAGGAACTCCTGAATAGTCCGGTTCCAATGAATCCACCGGACATCGAAGCAGAGCACACAGACCTCCCTATAGATGTCAATCCACCAACGACGGAATAAATCAGAATTACCATCAGACAAATCAAGAGCGGGAAAGCAGCAGGACCCGACAATATACCAGCTGAAGCACTGAAGTCAGACATCGAAGTAAATACAAACATGCTTCACCTTCTATTTAAAAAGATTTGGGAGGAGGAACAAGTGCCGATGGACTGGAAAGAAGGACACCTCATCAAGATTCCAAAGAAAGGAGACCTGAGCAAATGTGAAAACTACAGAGGCATTACACTACTGTCAATACCAGGAAAAGTCTTTAACAGAGTTTTGCTGAACCGGATGAAGGATGCAGTAGACGCCCAACTTCGATATCAACAAGCTGGACTCCGTAAGGAACAGTCGTGCACAGACCGAATTGCGACACTGCGGATCATTGTCGAACAATCAGTTGAATGGAACTCGTCACTGTACATTAACTTCATTGATTATGAAAAGGCGTTTGACAGTGTAGATAGGAGAACGTTATGGAAACTTCTTCGACACTATGTAGTTCCTGAGAAGATTGTAAATATTATCCGGAACTCATATGACGTCAAGACAGTTCTACTGTACGGAGCCGAAACTTGGGGAACTACAACAACCACCATCAAGAAGGTACAAGTATTTATAACTGTCTACGCAAGATACCCAACATCCATTGGACGAATACCATCAGTAACAGCCTTTTGTGGGAGAGAACAAACCGGCTTCCAGCTGAACAGGAAATTAAGAAAAGATGATGGAAATGGATAAGACATACACCACGCAAATCGTCAAACTGCATCGCGAGACAAGCCCTAACTTGGAAACCTGAAGGAAGGCGGAAAAGAGGAAGGCCAAAGAACATATTACGTCGGGAAATAAAAGCAGATATGGAAAGGATGAATAACAACTGGAAGGAGCTGGAGTAAGTAAGTAAGGTTTCTTCCAGCCTACTTCTACATTAGACAAAAAACCCGTTGAGGTGAACGGTGGTTGGGTGTACGTAACACATGGCCCCCAAACACCCTGGTACGGCCAAGAGTGGGGAGATGAAGCTCTTAAAATGCTCTCACATGGCCACGTGCATACAACCACTTCCAGGGAAGTCATATTCACTGTCTTCCCACAACAGGGGTGTTATTTACGAAGTTGAGAGGACAAAAAGCGAATTTCTGGTGCTTCAACCGGGCTGGTGGATATGTAGGATCCACCTAAGGGAATCGGAAAACCCTGATTCTAAACGAATGGTGCACATAGGCTCCAGGGTCGTGAGGGAACGATTGGCGTATGACTGACTGACAATTGTCGGCCACCGGCTACCATGGGACTTCATCTCCTTACGTTGCTGCGCTTCCTTGTGCATTAGACCTGTAAGTCAGAAGCCCGGAGTGTAGTCCCCTAAGAAAACTGCCTGCTTCGGTTTGGGAACCAGGGCAGTATCCTAGCCCTCACATAAATCGGATTACTTATGTGGCGCATATCTGTTTGGTGCTTCGTTGTACAAATGTTTATGTTTTTAAATTAAATTAAATTAATACCACAAATACCTCGGTTGGTGAGGTACTACTACCTCATCAATCGATTTTTCATCTTTACCTGGTACCCTATTCCTAACCCAGGCATTGCTTACTACTTGGCCCCAAAATACATGAGCAGTGTTTTGAAGATACCTGTGACCGAATACTAGTGATCTACGAATATCCGCTATTGTTAATGACCATTTTTCATACCTACGAAGTAAGACAGAGCGAACCGCTGAACGGTGAAGTCCTTTGCTTGGCAGACTGGTATCTCGCCTACGCCATAAATGAAATAAGTTGGTGATAGTTAATCAAGCCTTAGGAGTCCATGCTGAGATTTCGTTGGACACTAGACCATAATGACTGATGAGAATCCCGAGATAACCAAACCAGTCACTGTGTCCAACAACTTCACTCACTATCGTTAACTCAGGAGATAATGCAAACCAATTCTGAAGCAACATTTTGCATTTAGAAAAAGTGATAAAAAGACTGAATTTTGTAGGCGGCTTTACCAAACAGAATTATATCATCTGCATATTTTAAATCGTAAGGTAATTCAACCCCTTAACAGTCAAACGATGAGTGTCTTTAAAATCCAGTCAATGATGAGAACCCCAACTTCGATTTCCAGCCCCACCTCCTAACCTTGAATCTTAACCTCAATTTATCACACTAAGTTATAACCTCCCGACGACACCAATCAGTAGGTGGATTTTCTTAAGGTCACTTTGGCGTCACCAAAAGGTCGTTCATAATTTAGTCTCACTGAGAAACAGATAAGACTAAATAACGAAACTGACTGAATAAGTATATAAGTGGACGAAAAAACATGGAACAATTGTTTAAAGTTCAAAAGAAAGATATTATAACTATTGTGGTAAATTTTGATCAAAACATGGGATAGTCAACACTATACTGATTTTAGTCATGATTTTTGGTTCCCTATACAGCCGGAGATATTTTTATCAATGACCACAACCAATACCAAGTCTCAATTGCATAAAAACCAAAGAATAATCTCTTGACTGCGCGATAAGATACCGAATTATTGTGGCCAGTGAAATCGACCAAGTGTTTAAGCATGTTTTTTGGGGAAGTAACACTTTAAATCAATACTTACCATGAGAACGAGTGGGAATTTGCAAACATTAGATTACTTACCTTTGTCGAGTTCATTGCAATTAGATGTCGTATAAACAGAATTTAAAACTTCTTCGGCTGAATTCATATATTCCTACAACATATATGAAGCAGATAAATAGACATACAATTTCGAATTCATCTCTATATGGTAAGTATCCAAGTGACTTCTGATGATCTAATCGTAAATCACATGGGGGATTGTTTTCAACTTCAGAATCGAAAAGTTCGTTTGGGTAAGTGTGTTCTTTAACAAGAGGAAACGGGCAAGGTGAACACGTGAGTTCTTTCATGATTCCTGACATATAGAACTTGTCATAATGATCTCGACAGTCTGTGGAGCTATGTGACTGTAGTTGAGCGGATATTTCATCCCTAAGATAATATGAGTGATTAACCAAACACTTACCAGTTGCCATAACCATAAGTATCCAGAGCGTCTAATAGTTTTAATTCTTCTGAAAGCAACCAATGATTCTCGGTGAGATAACAATCTTCAGAACGCTAAAGTCTGTGAGTTTCAATGCAATCAAATTTACCTTTATAATATATTTGTGAATTTTTTTATGTTTGCCACCCTCAACCCCACATGCAAAGCACTATCATAAACGTAAAATAATATACTCAGAAATATACTTTCACACATATCTTTATCACTGTACATTCAGCGCACACAAAAGAGAAGCCACTGATCTTCTCTAAGCAGTAGCTACATTTTGACAACTTGCGAAACATAGTAACATTAAGGTTGTTTTTCGCGCTCGTTGCTATCACGTATCTGAATTACAGATTTTGATCTTCAGTCTTCAGCGAAAGGATACAGTGTCAATTGACTTACGTTATTGCTCGCAAATATGTAGTACTGTGAACTTCCAAAATCCATTTGAATGCAACAACAGGTGCTGATATTTGTGAAGACAGCCACGACAAACTTATTTCGTAGTTATTTTTCGATACTTTTTGCATTTCTCTTGATAGTTTCCATAATTTGTACATTTATTACAAATGAATGTAAAAGTTGTTTACAACTGCATGACCTTGAATACTTCCTTTTTGAATCCCTCAATGCATGACACTGATAACCGCTCGTAAATACACTGCTACACATACACGCCTCTTGTTATCGAATGCCAGTTGTTACGATAACTGAACCCTAAAATATTTTTTAAAGTGCAAGAACAAAGATTCTAGCAGAATAGCATGAATTCATTTTATCTCGTTGGTTCTCGTCGGCTGCTTACAACCTGTGGTATTTAAAGTCATAATTACATAATGGGTTTAGTTGGAAGTTATTTTGAAAACCTACTATTTTAGTACAGCAAGGGTGTATATTAATTTAACAGACCGATTATTGTAAATATACACCTGATGTGAAGGAACATTCTACAACATTGATTGCGACAACAGTTCAAATGGCCAGAAACAAGTGATTACATATTGAATAAATATTAATAGAAATAAAATGAGTAAGGCTCAGTTAATAAAATAAGATTATCAATTTGGAAGATAATCGAGATAAGATTCAATGATGAAATAAATGTGAGAAAGAGTTTAAACAAGAAGAAAAGAAATTTTAATATGCAGCGAAGGAATATTTGTCACCAAGGCAAGGAGAGACTAATGACCGTCTCCTTTCGAACACATAAGTCGGATTTTTAAGGCGTGATATCAACGGCTTTAGGAGTTTGGTTGCTTACTTATCACCTAGAACGAACATAAGTACCACCATGATTTCCTGTATCAAGGTGATGTTTGGTAATTGCACTGGAAGGAGAATCGATGGGCGTGGGAAAATGCGTAAGAAACAATTCTTACTAGCAGAAGTTTGTTGACAAATATAAAGAGCTTAAAGAAAACAAGACGAAAGTAATGACGGTCAATAAAACACCAATACCTACAAATCTTAACTTCAAAGGTGATGTTGTCCTAAACACAATCAGCAGGTGACTGAACACTGAGCTAGTCAGAACTTATCGTGCAGACGGACTTTTAATTCTGTATAGAACAGCATGTTCAACAACTCAATAAAATGTTGACAAGCATCTCTTTCATGTTACCACCAACCGTATCTATAGATTTACGTGTACCTACCAAAGCAGCTAAATTGGCCGAACAGAAAGGAGGGCATATCTTAGATTTTTTGAACATGTTATTCTCGACATTTATAGACCATAGCTGTGTTTCTGTTATATACTACTCGGTACGAGAAACGAACTCCATTTGTATATGATTCGGTTTGGGTTTTGAACTTTCTTAGAATGTCTTCTCACGTGGCCAGTCTAAGATTGACGTGCAAGACGAGACATATTAATATCAAAATCATCGTTCAGTGTACAGTAAGCCAACACCAAACGACCTCGTAAGCCACTAGAGGAAATTAACCTCTACAAGTTACGTCTTTATTAATTGGCTGTGACTCAGTAATTTGATGTAAATGAGTATAGACATGATGATAATAACAATATACTTCTGCATCAGAAGGTAAACTCCATTTTCACAATCATGATCTATAAATTACGACATTTGTTGGCTCACAGCATACTCCCCAATTTATTAGGCTTATAGTTGTCATATAGTAGACTCGTAGAGCGCTTGCTATAAATCATGACTTTGAGTAGACGCCTACATCAAGTTTGTTCCTGACGTCAGAAGTTCCATAGCTGTGCCCTCAGTGCAAGATTCTGGAGAAAGGAAACTAGGAAAGTATGGGAATATGTTGTAAAACATTAAACCTTCACAATATTACCTCAAAATTTCTACAGAATCTTACTACACTTTGGGGGAATCGGCTTATATTTATGAATAAAACCCCAACATTTTTCACAATTTTCAGGAAATTTTGCGTTTTTCCCCGAAAATTTCCACTGATTTTTGCGCTTATCCCCAAAAGAGCACCATCATCTTATTACAGTTTTTGCAAATTTGTTTGAACGCAATACTTTTCAACAGATTTTTACAGATATACAGAAAAGCCAGGCGAGAATGAGTACCTATAGTTTTTACTGCGATATTCCATTATTTTAAGTCCATTATGCAGAGAACGCAGCGCCAAAGAAACTTAACGTTAACCGATCTATCGCTGTAATTAAAAGACTGATTCGTGACACATTGAAATTTTTATTACGGTTTATAAAGTTACAAATCATTGATTTATACATGTTTTCTCTATTGCTTTGTAATGTAAGCACGTTACGTAGACGTCGAACTATCATTCACGTCAATGACGTACCAACGGTGTAACAATGCTGTTAATAATGCGAACAAAAAACTTACAGTTACGTCTGTCAAAAATTGCGAAGCCATCTGGAAGCAATATGGACAAGAAATATTTTTTTACTGACAAGAAAAAAGTTGTTTAAGTATAAAAATTGATCACAAATTAATATTATAACTGAAATATGTATTCAATCAAACATGTAGAGTGCTTTTAGCTCACCCTTTCTTTGGATCGCCATCCACTCTTATTTACTTTATCTCTCGCGTCATGCAAGAAAGCCTAGCCTGCAAAATCCATGGCGTGTACTACTTCTTTTTTGAGACAGGTTGCACTTCGGAATCGGGAACACAGAACACCTACAAATATATTAATACTTTAGTGTGGACTTGCTTTGAATCGTCCGGTAAAAATTTGTACTTACTAATACCAGATTTACTTTTCGTTCCGTGTAAAGTGTACGTGTTCGCCAGTTCCGGCGACAACAGATAACTTAGACAGGCTTTTGCAGATATACGAGGGTCATCACATACGAGCTCGTACAATCTGGTCACTTAAAATTTATTCAAACACCTGTTACAACTTACGAACTGACCACGGATCTTTAACTCATATAAAGCAATTTCAAAAGAACGCAACTCCTCATGTGTTCTTAATGGGAAAGCAATAGTTCAATTGTCTACTTGGTCGGTACGCCTGTCCATTACACCCATGGATGAGCGTTCATTGAAAGTGATCAGTTTATTTATCTTGTCAGACACTTCAGTGACTGCTTTCAGAATCATTTTCAGGGTTTTACTGTCATCACTGCACAACCTTTTCTTATCATGTTAACATTGAGTCCAACTTACGGTTTATTAACTTCCGTTGATGTACATGGAAGCATTGGTGAGAAAACCTCTATTTTCGATGAACTACTTTATGAGCATTGATCAAATAGGTACCTGCTTCGCTATAAGTGAAAAGTTTCCTGTCGAAATGTTGACAACCGGAAAGTCGACCAAGGCGAATCCAGCTTCAACCTCAGCAACATCTAGTTCTTCAAAGTTGCATAGATAGTCGTTAAATTTTCGTTTAACAGCCCTAAAAAAGTGATTTAGTGAGTTGAACAACTTATCTTTCCGGCTTCTCCGCTTCACACGGTAGCGTTTCATCATCTACTGTAATTTTATTATTGCAACCGAGTACTGCGGTTAAACAGACTTTCATTTCCTCGGATAAATGTTATCATCTAAAAATCGTGAACTTAACGTGTTTAAAACTTACCACAACGACGCGATATATATGCACCGATAGTACCGGAGGGAAAAGGGTCAGTATATAATGGTTATGGAATACCTGAAACTTAATTCGGCCTCCATCAGCTATTTGTGTGACGAACCCTGGTTGACCATTGGCGATTACTACATTGTCTGGCCTTGTAGTAGATAACTTTGAGTTTCCGCAAGTGATGATTTCCTTGGATGAATCATAATTTACCACAGGCTCAGTCAGATTGTCAGCCATATACTGATTTAATACACTTTGAAAGTAAACTTCTTCGGCATATCGCCGTGCAGCTTGTTTAGCCGTAGTGAATCCGCAATGTACTGAACGCCTGATTTCCCTCATGTATTATTTAAAAAGGAAGGCAGAGAACGACTCCAAATTGCCATGTTCTATAACGTCCTCTGCAATGTGCTTTAAACTTTAAACATTATAGATCAAGTGATCCCTACCGTAACAGTTTTCGTAACCTGATAAGTTGTTCACATGAACCCGAACACTGTTCGCGAATATGGTGTGCAACTTAGGGTGTGATAATAAATATACTGACAAGGACAGGCACTGGAAGTTTCTGTAAATTGCTGATGGTAACCTATCATGGAGAACTACAGTACCTAAGTATGATAAAAACAATCGACATTCAGTTGTTTTCCATACAGAAACTTCATATAATGAACGACATTTCATTTGAACGTCGCATGTAGTATGATTTGTACATAATTCTAATGCTAAACTGATGAACGAGAAAATAGATTGGTCCATTCCATTAAGTCGATTAACGGCTAGATCCTTCCATAAGGAAATCAGTTTTTTAGTAAAACCTACATACATCATATGCATCGGTTCCGATGGAAAGTATGCTATCACATCTAGTGGTAGACTTTCGAATACACTACAACCACGATGATGGATAGATTGTGACCCACAACGAAAACTTACATCACTTCTCAACTGGTGTTCACCATTGGGTAAAGTCACTCGACAACCCATTCATGTCCCTAAAGCATGACATTTGTCACAGCCAGCGGTACCGTTGTGTCCAACAACATTCCTGACGTAACTGCGAGCTGGAGTGTCACAAATAACAGCAACTAATTTAACTGTAAAATGTACCTGACACATATCTACGTAAATGCCTACTGTCAGCAGCTCATTTAACTCAGTTATAAGTGCTGCGGACATGTAGATGAAATCGGATGGTTTTACTTCACCACCATAGATGACAACTATGAATACAATACTAACTAATGCACCTATTATGTGACCTAAGATCGGCCACAGCTGTTGGTTAGAGCTTATGAACCAACTCAGACCATCGTAGTTCAATTGCAGCTTCGTTCCTGTGAACCTAGGTTGTCTTAGTAGAATAGTTAATAC